CCATCCCGCTGTTGTCCGTGAAATTTACTAAGATTTTCGGGCATGGTTTTTCTTTGGTGAAGGACAGTGTACATGTATAATCGTTCGGATGGGACAAAAAACCCATTAGAGTGTACATTAAAGCATCCTTGGCAGTTTGAAGTAGAAATACATGTATGGGTATGCCGTAGCACCACTGTCCAGACAAAATTTGCCTCGTACATGTACATGTAGCACACTATACATGTACACGTCTGTCTTCATTAGTCCAGGCATTAGGATTTTAAAATGAAATGAAATCAATGAGGTTTAACGTCCTACTATTCTGCTCCGACTGGGCTAATGAAGACGGGCATATTCCATACAGTGTGCTATAAGGGAAATTTTGCCTAAACAGCGGCGCTATGCCCTACCCTTATATCAAATTCCAACTGCCAAGGGATCTTTTACATGCACACCAATATGTGCACAGGACCTCGGTTTTTCGTCCCATCTAGACTAGACAGCTGCCCTTGTCTGGCCCTCTGTCCTGCACCACTGACAAGTGGAAACCATGCCAGAAAATCCTGATGAACTTTCTCTGCCAACACCGGGATCGAACTCATGACCTCCAAGCTACATGTACATGTACTCACTTAGCCACCTGGCTCCGAGTAGGAGCAATATGGTTGTCAGCCCATTTAACTTTGAGATTTACCTACATGTACATGTATTTGATTGAAATTTGCTTTTCATGGCATTCTGTTAATTTTTGACTGAATTATGGCCCTTTGTATGAAAATTTATTTTTCTGGAAAACTGAAATTTAGAAAACTGTTTTACATAGCAGAATTACAGACCAATTCAATGAGAATTGAAAATTTATTCCATGTATAGCTTTACATGTATATTGGGAATTTACTGGAATGTATTTGCAGTGTCAGCCTCAAGATTATAAATTCTTGGATAGTAAAATTTGTACTCTCCGATTGCTTGTTTCAACTTTAATTTATATGATTTAGTTTCTTTGTTTAAAAGTTCAGATCAATCAGGATTATACAGACCGGAGAAATGTTAAAATAATGAGTTTTGGTAATTGTCGTTTTTCCTCGAGACATGGTAAAAATGAGCACACAGTGTAGTTTGTTTCAATCAATAACATTACTCAACTAATTCCTATTCCCAGTTCAATATGACCCATTCGGCCATTTGTCTGGTATTAAGAATCATGATGAGATGGATTAAATGGAGCGATTGTATCAGTGCGTTGTATATGGCAGTTGTTAGTGTGATTCTGTCATCGGAATAGATAAGAATTAGAATTGACGGAAAAGTTTCAAAATAGGTGGACAATTTAAATCATTTTTTTTCTGTGTTTTATTTTTGTTTGACTTATTCAAATGAAATTCTAGAACTTTTGGAAAACTTGGGATAAACTGTCAGCCATTTTATCATTGGGATAGATAACTGGAATTAACAGAAAGGTTTAAACATAGATGGACAATTTTAAAGAGTTATCGGAATGAAATTCTAGAACATCTGGAAAACTTGGGATAAACCGTCAGCCATTTTATCATTGGGATGGATAACTGGAATTGACGGAAAGGTTTAGAAATAGGTGGACAATTTTAATCTATTTTTTCTGTTCTATAATTGTTTTTAAGTCTGTGGAATGAAATTCTAAAACATCTGGAAAACATACATGTAGGATAAACCATCGGCCATTTTAGCTGCCAACTGGTCATGATGATTATGTTCACAATTGTACATCTTTGAATGTCATACATATGATTAATGTCTTATCATAATGGTTTGATGGACTGCAACTTTACAATAATACTGTACTTGCAAATGTCTATGATAAAATCTGGAATATAGATTAGGCCTAATGGATTATTAATGTGTAGTACTAGTAGTTGATTTAATTGTTGACACCCAGCTTTATTTTAGTTTATTAGCTTCACACTGATAAACAGTGAATATTCGCTAGACCGCTACAATCACTGATAAGGATGACGTTAATGCGACTTAATGAGCCATAAATATTAACTGTTTTCCTTCGACAAATTAAATTCTAAAACATTTTTTTTTATGCATTAGAAAAATAAATAAAGACGATTGACGTATTAGTAGGTAAAAATTATTTCCTATTTTCGTGTAAATGGGTATTAAAATGAGTAAAAGACTCCATTCCGCCCGAACCAGTAAAGTCTTATGTAAACAATGCACGCGCCATTGAGCCAATGATTTACGGCGCGTGGTATGACGTCATGTGTTGAAGGTAGTTATCTTTTACAGAGATATTAGAAGACTTTCGTAATCCTGTGTGAAAGAGATTGTATTAGCTTATCGCTTCAAAATATTGGGTGCACCAGATAATAGAAAAATAACAAGTTCCTAAAATGTAGTCAAAGTTGTTCTCACAATGAATATGTCTTCTTCGGAACCTAGCTTGGTTTATTCTTGGTTTTTGTTGTCCTTAGTGTTTGGGGGGGGGGGGGTGGCAGATGGCTGAATGGTTAGCACGTGAGCTTTGTATCATAAGGTCTGTCATTGAGTCAGCTGGCATGGTATTGATTCCCCGGTTGTACGTGACAAGGAGTAGGGTCGTCTACCCAGCCTCGTGAGTTTTCTCTGGGTCCTCCGGTTTTCTCCCACTACTAAAATTGAACCATGTGTTAGCCCCGAAATGACCTAGTTTGTGTCGAAGTAGACGTTAAACCCTCCCTCTCTCTCTCTCTCTCTCTCTCTCTCTCTGGTTTCTTACTGTCACAACTATATTATATGTAGTTTCAATGGCATTTAGTAATTGAACTGGAAAATACAGGTCACAATTCTATGAAATACCGGGTTTTTAATCCCTGCATTGGCCGAGAAAGTTCATCCAGATTTTCCGGCGTGGTTTCCCCTTGTCAGTGATGCAGGACAGATTGCCTGACAAGGACAGCTGTCTAGTCGTTCGGATGGGACGAAAAACCGAGGTCCCGTGTACATATTGGCGTGCACGTAAACGATCCCTTGACAGTTGGAATTTGATATAAGAGTAGGCGGTAGCGCCGCTGCCTGGGCAAAATTTCCCTCATAGCACACTGTATAAAATATGCCCGTCTTCATTAGCCCAGTTTAGGAGCAGAACAGTGGGACGTTAAATCCCATTTCATTTCATTTCTATGAAATACAATTACCGGTACTGCTTAATACGTTTCGACTAAGCTTCTCTAGTCATTATCAAGCAATCATAGAATATGATAACTAAGTATTGTTTTGTACATGTATATATTTTCAAATTTTATCACTGCTTGACAATGACTAGAGAAGCCTAGTCGAAACGTCGCTCAGTAATAAGCAGTAATTGTATTCCATAGAATTGTGACCTGTATTTATTATGTGCATTATGCATTAAGGTCTGGGTTTAATTACTTGTTTTGGTATCCAGACATGTAGAGCCAGAGGTACACTGTAATGACAACCTGTTATATAATAAAACTCATCATTAACTCATAGACTTAGTAATCACTCGGCTATTATTATATTAGTTATTCTGCCATTGTGAAGAGGTGGTGCCAGGAGGTATCGTATTTAATCCCTGAGGTCTCAGGGTTTAATCCCGGCGTTATCCGAGAAACTTCCTCAGAATTTTCCAATCATGTGTCCCCTTGTCAGTAGTACAGGATTGGCAAGGAGTTCAGCGCCAAAGATGGATGTCCTGAAAAAAGTCTCGGTCCAAGTACATACATGTATGTAAAAGAACCCAAGGGGGCAATCTGGTTAAAACAGATCCTATTTCGTTTCATTTTTATAGTTCAAAATTTTGTTTTACTTGTCTTTACTACACTAGGATCTGGAAGAGTTGTTATCATTGACATGTTCTGAATGATGTGAGCTATTAGCAAATGAAACGGTCTGTTGTACAGAGAGCTTTAGGCGTGTTTTGCACGGAACTGTGGGTAATTCACTAGTAACATGAATGCTGATTGGTTAATCAAATGTCTGACATCATAGGGTCAAAACCCGCTCTTATGACCTCTGACACGACCTATCGCTACAACTGGTCAGATCTTCGTGTAGTGTATTTTAAGCAGATTACCAAGGGGGATGACAGTTGGAGAGTACATGTAGGTCATATGGAAACACTTTTGTCCAAGCAAAATTCCCCGCATCAGATGGTAGTAGACTTAGTGACATACATGTATGTTCATTAGATCCTTCTTCAATTTGCACCTTGTCATTAACATCAATTCTACGATATTGTTTTTCACAGTTTATTGATTATACATGTATATATGTTTGTTCTTCACCTTACGGGGGGTGGGGTGGCCAAATGGTTTAAAGCATGCGCTTTTGATCATTAGGTCCGTCATTGAGTCAAGTGGTGTTTTGATTCCCCCCTTTGGGGATCACGTGGCTAAGTGGGTAAGACGCTGGCTCGCTAGCCTGGAGGTCGGGTGTTCGATCCCTGCATTGGCCGAGAAAGTTCATCTCGATTTTCCGGCGTGGTTTCCCCTTGTCAGTGATGCAGGGCGGAGGGCCTGACAAGGACAGCTGTCTAGTCGTTCGGATGGGACGAAAAACTGAGGTCCCGTGTACACATTGGCGTGCATGTAAAAGATCCCTTGGCAGTTGGAATTCGATATAAGAATATGCCGTAGCGCCACTGCCCGGGCAAAATTTCCCTCATAGCACACTGTATGACGTATGCCCGTCTTCATTAGCCCAGGTTAGGAGCAGAACAGTAGGACGTTAAACCCCATTTCATTTCATTTCATTTCGATTCCCCCCTTTAACATATGTGACATAGGGTAAAGGTCGTCTGGCTACCCTTGTGGGTTTTCTCAGGGTCCTTTAGTTCACTCCCACTGATAAATACCTATGCACAAGTGAATTATTTAAATAAAATTGAACTATAAGTTAATCTCGAGTGGACATTAAACACCCATTTCTCTCTAACACACTCTCTTTTTTCTTTGACCACACCGGGTGACCATTACTATTTTCACAGTTTATGTACATGTATCTTATTGTGTTTTTTTGGTTGTTTTCAGTTGTAATCCAGATTTACTGCCTGAAGTCACATTTACCACATGTAAAAATCATCTAGAAATTAACGATGGAAAAGTTCCATGTAAGTTTCCTCGTAGTAATTTTAACTCTTTATAGCTGTAGCTCAGATTGATTAAATGTTAACTCTTGGTGACAGAAGATTCTCAGAAGTGATGCCCCTTTTTTCTGGAATAAATACACCGATGCCTGAAAGAAGCAAAGTCAGCGTTATCATTTGAATCCAATCAGAAAACATTTCAGACTCAAGTTAAGAATGTACTCAACTTTCAATCACTATTTATTAGAAATATCTTTGATTCAGAAACACAAAACTTTGCACATAGTGTCTTATTGATGTATTTGTTACATAAAAAAACAACAAAAGTTTTATAAAGGGCTATATTTTTAGTTAAAATAAGGCAAACAATTTTGAGTAAATTCGTAACTTTAGTCTGAGAATGTTTTGTGAACTCGGGGCATGGGCCTGACAGAGCAACCCAGCCACAATAAGCAATACTCTTTATGAAATTAGTCACTTTTATTTCTTAGATTCAAGCAAACCTCTGACTAAACTTGTGAACATCAGGGAAGAAGTACATGGAGTGTAGTTGCCACGTGGGAGACCATTTCAGAATCCATTGTTAGAAATAAGTGAACCATGTTATTGGCTCATTAACCAGAAAATCCTTGATTTGCTTCTAGTTGTTAGCCAAGAAAGTTTCTTGAGATTTTCCAACCAAGTTAACATTTGTCAGTGGTGCAGGCTGCAGGCACAGAAAAAAAGTCTAACCATTCGGATCGCATACTGTATGGCGTATGCCTGTCTTCATTAGCCCAGTCGGAGCACAACAGTAAATGTAGGATGTTAAACTCCATTTCATCTCATCTCGGGGGCGAGGGATATTGGGGGGGGGGGGGGGGGAATGGCCGAATGGTTAGCACGTGCATGCTGTTTCATAAGACCTTTCATTGAGTCAACTGCTGTGGTTTCGAATCCCCGGTTGTACGTGACAAGTAGTAGGGTCGCCTGTCCAACCTCGTGTGTTTTTTCTGGGTCCTCCAGTTTCCTCATACTGCTAATGAACCCTACGCGCAAGCGAATTATTGATATAAAATTAAACCATATGTTAGTCCCGAAATGACCTAGTTTGTGTCGAGTGAACGTTAAACCCCTTTTTTTCTCTCTCTCTCTCTGTGTTAAAGATCCCTTGACAGTTGAAAATCAAAATTAGAGTACCGTAGGCCTTCTAGGCAAAATTTCTCTCATAGCACACAGCATTATCCCTGTCTTAGCACACAGCATTATCCCTGTCTTTGTCTTCATTAACCAAGTTGATGCAGAAGACTAGGACATTAAATATTTTATGTACATCATGTAACAACATTGATTCTCAACCTTTTATTGCCACACGAAAAAACAGCAGCACACCTGGCTAAATTATAGTAAATATATGTGAAAAATATTTGAACTTTGCAAAATAAAAACATGGCAAGTCATAGACGACATACACAACCGTAAAAACAGACTAGTCATAGACACATAGAAAGACTCAAACTAAACAAAGAAAAACACGGTTATGAAGTTACTTTATTGCAGTGTTTCGAATTTCATCAGTCAAATAGCTGGCTTCTTTAGTGAGAAATTTTCTTAGTGTGCCGTTCAAAATTTCGCAGCACACTTAGGAAGATCTCGTGGCACACAGGTTGAGAATCACTGTCTTGAATGAAATTAGGTTACAAATGGTACATACGAGTAATTGTAAATCTCTTGTTGTAGTAATTGAGAAACAGAACAGTGGGCGAATGTCACCCGTAAGAGCCATCACTATGAAAGAATATGATCAGGTTTGTATTTATAAATTATATGGTTTAATACTTTGTTGTTTTTTTCTTTTACCTTATATACATGTCTACTCCCACACGTATTTACCTAGTCATTTGGATGGGCTGAAAAACCAGGATCCATGCACATGCAGTTGGAAATTGAAAAAGAGAAGACAGAAAAGTAGCTGCCGAGGCTAAATTCTCACTCTGCACATCTAACTATATAATAAACGAAAATAATAATTAAAGATAAATTGTGTAAGATTTAGATAAAGAGCTGGTTATTCTTGATATAATAGCTCAAAATAGATAATGTAAAATGAAAATATTGAAAATTTCATTCAAATTACTTCATTCTAAGCCAAGTTATCACTGTGTAGTTTTGACAAGATGTATGCATAATGCATGTTTAAACCTCATATCCATAGTCAGCAGGCAAATCTACCATTTTTATACGCTTGTGGACGCTCTAGAGGCTAAAGTTAATATCCGATTGACTTTAAATTTATACACAGTGTTTAAGGCCATGAGACGAAGCCTTTTGATTTTCAGCGATTTCCGATAATTACTGCCAGGGTTATGACCCTTGATCACTTTGAAAAATCTTGTGGACGCTCTAGAGGCTAAAGTTAATATCCGATTGAGTTTAAATTTATACACAGTGTTTAAGGTCATGAGACGAAGAAGTTTATTCATTTACAGCGATTTTCGATAATTACTACCAGAGTTATGGCCCTTGATCACTAAAGTTATCATCCGATTGACTTCAGATTCATACACAGAGTGTAAGGTCTTGAGACAAACAAGTATATTGATTTTCAATGAATTTTTATGACTTGAACAGCTAAATCCATGATGTTAAAAGTTTCCTATACTAAACGTTAGCATGGGGCAAAACTTTATAAAAACCAAACAAATTCTAATGGTTTTCTGATAATTACTTAATGAGTGGTTACTCTTAATCAGATTTTAATGTATTATAAATGTTTCATTACCGAAAAAAGTAAAAATATGTGACAACTCTTGTTGACTGCCCGGACGAGTTAGCTGCTGTGGGCGTATGTTTCGTTGCCTGGCAACCTATCTTGTATTTATTTTACTAAGTCTATGTTTTTAAATCTTCCAGATTATTTCCGAGTTGCGGAAAGAAAACTTCAACTTGAAATTAAGAATATACTTCCTGGAAGAAAGAATGCAACAAAAATATGGTGATGGCGATGATATCTTTAAAACGGTAAAAATTATTTCCAATTTTCTTTCTTTGCTACTTTTCTGAGCACATCACAGAAAATAGTTGACTTTTTTAAAAACAAACATGTACTCTGTGTGTGCTGTCTTAATTTCACACGTTACTATATCTCGTTTTTCTCTCAATTTTTATCTGTATTTTTACACCATTTCTTCAGTCGCTTATTGGACACATTTTGGCAACACAAGTTGAATTTTTCTTCTTTGGGCATACATACTCAAGTTTTGATTCCTATTTCTTCATGAAGAAAAAAAGAATAATTGAAAAATTAAATGTTCTTCCATTTTTATGCACTCACATTGGAATGTGGTCGTTTACTATTGTCACCCCAGTCCGTCGCCCAGAATTAGACACCAAGGTTTTAAAAGTTCATGAGAACAGAAGGAGAGGCATTTTGATTTTCTGCGGCATGTTTTGTATAATAAATGTAAGCACTAGGAAAAAGGGGGGGGGGGTCGAATGGTTAGCTCGTGGGCGTTGTATCATAAAGTCTGTCATTGAGTCGACAGGCGTTTCGATTTCCTGGTTGTACATGACAACGAGTAGGGCCGCCTGTCCAACCTTGTGGGTTTTCTCCTGGCCCTCGAGTTTCCTCCCACTGCTAAAGACCCCATATGCGCAAGCAAATTATTGAACCATATGTTAGTCCTGACATGACCTAGTTTTGTTCAAGTGGATGTTAAACCCCTTTTCTCTCTCTCTCTGATAATAACTTGTTAACTTGTTACTCTTGATCAGTGTCTTTTGAATTATCCCACAAAAGAATAAATCTATGTGACAACCTTTGTAGCCGACTCGGACAACTGAGCTGCTGTGGGCGTGTGTTTTGTGGCCTGGCAATCTATCTTTTTATTTTATTCTGTGTCATTTCTTATCTTATCTTATCTTGTCTTTATCTTTTTTGTGCCGCTTTTTATAGAAAAATGAGGTAAAGTATAAGTTTTGTTGTGTAAACATGTCGATATTCATCAATTATATAGAGTTCTTCTAATGCTTTTTTTTTCTCTTGGAGCCACAGTGGCTAAGCGGGTATGACACTGGCTCGCTAGTCTGGAGGTCGTGGGTTCGATCCCTCAGTGCTGGCCGAGAAAGTTCATTAGGATTTTCCGGCGTGGTTTCCCCTTGTCAGTGGTGCAGGACAAGAGGGCCTGAGAAGAACTGCTGTCTAGTCGTTCGGATGGTATGAACAACCGAGGTCCCATGTACACATTGGCTTGCACATAAAAATCCCTTGGCAGATGGAATTCGATATAAGATTTCAATCGCAGCACGAATCGTGATAGTGGTAACCTAGCATTAGTCAAATTTCTTAAGGGGGTGGTCTTTACAATATCGTTGAAGTCTATTATCAAATGTGTATATGTTAGTGGTATAACAATATTTTCTGGTAAGCACAAAATTTTTTGGTTGTCTTAATCTACTCAAATTGATCATTAAAAAATTAATTATGGAACACAAAACTGTGGTCGACCCATGTAAGTAATGTAAACGATGATAAAATTCTATTTTAATGATTTATTGTAGAATATTGAGTTACGTGTAGAAGTTGAAACATTACGGAAAGAATTAACAGATAAACAAGAATTATTGAAAAAGGCTGGGTAAATTATCTATTTATTCTCTCTATATTTCTATAAAACTCTATTATTAAAAAAAGACTGGGTAATATTTCTATAAAACTCTATTATTAAAAAAGGCTGGGTAAACAATCTATTTATTCTCTCTATATTTCTATTATTTTACGGGGTGGGGTTGGATGGCCGAATGGTTAGCACGTGCCCGCTGTATCATAAGGCCTGTCATTGAGTCAACTGGCGTGGTTTCGAATTCCCTGTTGTACGTGACAAAGAGTAGGGTCGTCTGTCCAACTTTGTGTGTTTTTCTCTGTGTCCTCTGGTTTCCTCCCTTTGAAAAAGACCCCTACGCGAAAGCGAATTATTGAAATAAAATTGAATCATATGTTAGTCCCAAAATGACTTGGTTTTTGTTGAGTCAAGTTGATGTTAAACCCCATTTCTCTCTCTCTTATTCTATAAGTCTTGAACTAAAATATTCTTAAAAATCACCCTTAGCTAAGAGCTAAAATTTGTACTTAAAGGTCAACGGAAAAGCTTCAAATTTTTTAAAAATAATGCAATTAATTATGTCAACATATCCTTTCCATACGTATAACACGAACCCGAATGTCAAAATTACCTGCAACAAGTAAATTTCAACGTTAGTAATTTCCGTCGTTCTCTGTGAGTAGTCTTAACTTTCTGCCAGTAAACAATCTGTGACGTCATTTTAGTACATTTGCTCATATTCTAGTCTATATTTCTATGAGCAGAAGGACAAAAATCACGTTTAAATAGACATTAAACCACGTATCATTTCATTTTTGTGTTGTTCAAATTTTTTTATGTTTCTGTACTTTTAGTTTAGCAATGGAGAATTTAACAGCCAATCATCAGATGGAATTAATGCAGGTTAAAGGTCAAATAGAGGCTGAATTAAAACAACAAAATACAGATCTGGCTGACAAATACAACAAATCACTTCTAGTAAGTATCGTAAGATCTGTCATTGAGTCAAGTGGTGTGGTTTTTATTCTCATCTTGTACGTGACAAGTAGGGTCATCTGTCCAACATTGTTGGTTTTCTCAGGTGCGAATTATTAAAAAAAAAATTAAACTGTATGTTAGTCCTTTAATGACATTTGTGTCAAGTGGATGTTAAACCCCATTTCTCTCGATCTCTTCTAGTTAGTTGTCTGTTGAGATTCGGTTAACATGTAGTAGGTCATGGGATAGACTGGCCTGGCCCGGATATAAGGCACCTGTTGTAGACATTGTCAGACACAAATTATCGCACGTCGTATATATTACATAATCTTTGAGTGACAGTTATCAATTGAGAGGGGGGGTTGGATGGCCGAATGGTTAGCACGTGCGCGCTGCGCTGTATCATATGGTCTGTCATTGAGTCAACTGACGGGGTTTCGAATCCCCGGTTGTACGTGACAAACCAGTTTCCTCCCACTGCTAAAGACCCCTACGCCCAAGCGAATTATTGAAATAAAATTGAACCATGTGATAGTCCCGAAATGACCTAGTTTGTGTCGAGTGGACGTTAAGCCCCATTTCTCTCTCTCTCTCAATTGAGAAACACATTAACAGAACAGAGTTTTTATGGGATACAATCACTAGTTTTATTCTAAAAGCACAACATTTCGACAAGTATCCTCTTATCGTTATCAAGCACACCAATCTGATTAAAACACAGATTCTATTTCGTTTTGTTTTTATAGTTCAAAATTTCGTTTTACTTGTCTTTACTACACTAGGATCTGGAATAGTTGTTATCATTGATGTGTTCTGAATGGTGTGAGAGATTAGCCAACGAAACTGTCTGTTACGACGAGCTTTAGCTGTGTTTTGTACGGAACTGTGGGTAATCCACTAGTAACATCAATGCTGATTGGTTAATCAAATGTCTGACGTCATAGGGTCATAAGTCGGTCTTTTGACCCCTGACGCGACCTTTCAGTACAACTGGTCAGATCTTCATGAAGTGTAATCCATCGAAAGTATAAAAAAACGAAACGAAATATAGATCTGTATTTTAATCAGATTGTAAGCACAATGCACATTGGCGTGCACGTAAAAGATCCCTTGGCAGTTGGAATTCAATATAAGAGTAGGCCGTAGTGCCGCTGTCCGGGCAAAATTTCCCTCATAGCACACTGTATGGCGTATGCCCGTCTTCATTAGCCCAGGTTAGGAGCAGAACAGTAGGACGTTAAACTCCATTTCATTTCATTTCATTTTGCAAGCACAATGACATTAAGTACACTTGAGGTCTATATATATGAAATTCATAGTGAAACCATTTACACAGATTAAATAACAGTAACAAAACGAATCAAAATTGACTTCTTTTCGTGGGGATGGCGTAGGGGAGGGGGATTGAGGGGAATATTGTAAAAGCTAAACTAAAGTATTTGATGGTTCTTGTCAATAGCTTTTAGTTCTACATAACTTTTGTAAATCTTTAATAATGAATATATTGTAGGATAGCAGTGTTTATCAGAAGGATTTACAGGAAGCAGAAGAGAAGATTATCTCCCTTGAATCAATGTTAGATAAAGTAAAAGTAGAACTCGATGAAATAAAAACCGAGAAAATTCAAGATGGTGAACGTTTGAATGAGGCTTTAAAAACAATACAGGATAAAGATAGGTAAGTGAATGAGAAATGGAAAAGTTAACAAAATAATTACAGAATACACCCAAGTCTGGAAATAAGGCACCTGCCCAAAAAAGACAAAGACAGCTCCAAAACAAAAATTTTCTTGTTTCACATTAACAGGGGGGGGGGGGGGGGGGGGGGGGGGGTAGCCGAATGATTAACGCGCATGCTGTATAAATAAGGTCTGTCATTGTGTCAAGTGTCCCTGTTTCTATTACTTGCTTGTACGTGACAAGGAGTAAGGTTGCCTGTCCAACTTCATGGGTTTCTCCGGGTCCAACGGTTTCCTCCCACTGCCAAAGACCCTTACGGGCAAATTGGACCATATGTTAGTCCTGAAATGACCTATTTTTTGTCAAATGGACTTTAAACCCCATTTCTCCCTCTCCTCCCTTACCAGTGTTGCAGGATGGAGAGCATAGAAATGGTAAGCATCTAATTGTTTTGATTGTTTGGATAAACTGAAGTCCTGTGTTTGTCTTTGGTAGTATGTTAAAGATCCCCTGACAGTTGGATGTTGAAATAAGAGTAGGTGGTAGTACTGCTGTCGTGGCAAAATCACCATACTGTCTGCATTAGCCCTGGGAGCCACAGTGGCTAAGTGAGTAAGACTCAGACTCACTAGCATGGAGGTCAGTGGTGCTGGATGGAGGGTCTGACAAGAACAGCTGTGTAGTCATTCGGTTGGGACGAAAAAAAAACAGAGGTCCCTTGTACACAGTGGCATGCACGTAAAAGATCCTTGGCAGTTAGAATTCAATATAGGAGTAGGACATTAAACCCCATTTCATTTCATGATCCCGGTTGTTCAACAATTTGTTTGACATTATTTGAATATTGTAAATTTGATTACTATAAATGTTTGAATTATTTCAGTGCTATTGTAAATTTAGAAGATCTATTAAAGAAAAATGAAGAAGACGGAGTGAGAGAAAAGGAGAAATATGATCTGAAGGAGAGACAGATGAAAGAAGAATTACAAAAAATGAAGAAACATGTGGACCGAAAGGAACGAGATATTCAGGTATTCGTCTAATTCTCTGATTAATTAATGTTTAATGTCTTTGTGAATTTTTTTGGGAAAATTTGTTGCATGTTTAATATTCATTCACAAACGAAATTAAGTCAGCTGATAGCCAAGCATCTTTTCGGAGTGCTGTGAACGCATCATCAGGTCTACTTTCAATTTATATTCTTTCCTTCTTTGCCTGGCAACCTATCCTCAGAAATCTAGACCAGTGATTTAACATGGAATTTTTAAATAATGTTTATTTTTTTGTATTGTTGTATTAAATATTTGAGCAAACTCGTTATTATATTCTCAACTGTTGGTACAATCCAATTATTGAATGATAACATCTCTGGCAGAAGCTTTATATTTTTATGTTGTTTTTTTTAATTAAAGATACATTATGCAAGAGCTAAATCGGCCTATTGCAGGTCTTTCTTTAGGCCTGACATGTTATCTATTTTATTAATTAGATATTAAATAACTTATCCAGACAATAATCAACTCTCGGTGTCATTGGATATCTCCGATATTCAGTAGATTAAAACGGTTCAGCCATATTTTGATTTAATCAAAAATGGTGATGTCAGGTTAAACTTCGAACAACCAGTACGCTGGTTGCAATTAATGCACACATCTTCCCAAACCTTCAAAAGCTAATATCTTCACTTGTAATCGAGCAATTTGAATGAAATTTTCAATAAATTTATTTTGCATTATCTACTTTCGAAATATTATATTAACAATGGCCAGCTCTTTATCAAAATCTTACATAATGTATCTTTAAATATATGTTTTGTTAAAGAGCCATGTGACTGACATTGACTAAATAATACAAATAGCTCAATAAATCCAAAACATAGCTTTGCATCAATTTAAATTTGGTATCCAAAGACCTTAAATTGGAGTGTGATATTCAATATTAAGAAAAAAGAACTTGAAATATATTTTTTAAAAAATAAATTATCAAAAAACAGCAAATTTTGTGCTTTTCTGTTGAGTTTTGGCTTCTGCCTTTGTTATTTCGGGGCAAATTAAAATTAAGGGATTTTGGAAAAACAAATATGCTGGAAAATCAAAATTGGTCAACTTAAGTTTTTTACGTGTTTCATTTAGCCCTAACAGGTCAGTCACATACTTGAATGTTTATTTTGTGAATGTGCATGCGAACTACTCCTATCAATAATACAAAAAAATCTGCTCTACCACTTGTTTTCCAATGTATAAGACACACCTTTTCCCCTCCAACCGGCGTGGTTTCCCCTTGTCAGTGGTGCAGAACGGAGGGCCTGACAAGGACAGCTGTCTAGTTGTTCGGATGGGATAAAAAACCGAGATCTCATTGGCATGCAAGTAAAAGATCCCTTGGTAGTAGGCTGTAGCCCCCCTCCTCTTCCATAATTACCTCCATAGCACACTATACGGTGAAAGTTGAATTTCTAAAAGGAATTTTAGATGGACCTCTCTGGGGTTTTTTTTTATTCGATTGAATCGAACCCAGGAGATGATCTATTGCAGATATTTTGGTTTTATGATAATAAATTTTAGTGCAGTATGAATATGGAGGGAAAAATGAGATAAAGTCTAAAATTGCAATTATCAGCAACTACTATAAAAAGAGTAATTTGAATAGATTTTAGCATGAATTAGACCGGGTAAAATTTGATAATGGTCAAAAATGCAAATATCATCAGCAACTTTAGAAGAGTAATTTGAATAGATTTTAGCGTGAATTAGACTGGGAAAAATTAGATGATGACCAAAAATGCAAATATCATCAGCGACTTTAGAATAGTAAATTGAATATATTTACATGTAGCACGAATTAGGCCAGGATAAATTAGATGATGGCCATGAATGCAAATATCAGCGATTTTAAAAAAGTAATTTGAGTACATTTTAGCATGAATTATCCTGGGAAAATTTGATAATGACCAATTAATGGTCAGTAACAAACTCAATGTTTGTTTTACACACGTCTCCCTCTCACCCCTACCCCTCCTAATAACCCCCCCCAACTAAACAATATGGTAAGACTATTTTTGAATGATGTTTGTTGTTTGTTTGCTGTTATTAAAGCATGTTTGATATTTTTATTTTTAAATGCATGTAGAATATATCGAGTATTATGGATACAAAGACGACTTCCTTTAACAGCGAATCTTTTCTTGCTCCTACGCATCTTCAGGTGGGTTTATATATTCTTAAAATCTCTGAACGTCATTTAGGGAATGAGGAATCACTTACAAACTATGATATCGTGAAAGTTGAGTCGCTAAAAGGAATATCAGTTTTAAACTATAACACATACTTATGGAAGAACAATTACTGATTTATTTGGGCGACGTTTCGAAGAGTATTCTCTCAACGTTTCGAAGAGTATTCTCTCAACGTTTTCAATTGAAAACGTTGAGAGAATACTCTTCGAAACGTCGCCCAAATAAATCAGTAATTGTTCTTCCATAAGTATGTGTTATAGTTTATTGCTCTATCCAGTTACTAAATGCCTCTAAAAGATGAATATCAGTTTAAAAATAGTTCAGTTCCATTCAATATTTCGCGTGCACATTGTATCATAAGGTCTGTCATTGAGTCAACTGGTGTGGTATCGATTCCCCGGTTGTACGTGACAAGGAGTAGGGTCGCCTATCCAACCTTGTGGGTTTTCTCCGGTTTCTCCTGTTTCCTCCCACTGCTAAAGACCCCTACGCACAAGTGAATTATTGTGTTGAGTGGACATGAAACCCCCCTCCTCTCTGTCTGTCTCTCTCTCTCTCTCTCTCTCTCTCTCTCTCTCTCTCCATTCAGTATTTACAGATGAATTAAAAATAAGTTAATATTTGGAATCCTCAGGAGACAATACTGACGGGAAATGGTCAAATTGATTATCTATCTGTAGTTGTTTGGATTGGACAAAAAAACAATGTCCCGTGTACATGGGGATGTTAAACCCCATTTCTTTTCCATTCATATTTTGATTTTGTTTTTATGATTAATAATAATCAATTTAAATACATGTTTAAAAGAATTTCCTAAAAAAAAATTTGAATTCTCCTAAAAATGACGCACAGAGATTTTAATAATAACGTCTACCGTACCTTAACATCTACACCATCGGTGCATATTTGATTAACTTACTACAATCTGATTGGTTGATTGTTTGACATGCAATATAATTATACTTCTTATGAAATATAACTTCAATGCCATCTGTGCATATTTGATTACGTCACTGCAATCTTATTAGTCAAAATCATTAACACATATTTGTATGCAATAAGTCCCCAGTCAAAGTTCCCTTATTATTATTAATGCCATCTGTGCATATTTGCTGTAATCTGATTGATTAAGTGTATGCATGTTGCAGTCTCTGTAATATATCCATGTATTAATTACTATAAGGTCCATGATATATCCTGTGAAAGACAAATTTTTATATAAAATATTTGGCCATTGACCACAGCTAATTCAGCTTGTTCGTTGCTCCTTATGCTTGCAGTGTTGGTCATGGTAAAATGAAATTTGTAATCAGAGCTAAGTTTCTACCATGACTGTTTTGTCATTTTTATGCTTGAAACCTGAAAATGTCAGGACAATTGTTCTAGAAACATAACGATTTAAATTCAGGAATCATTTTCCACAGAACTGTGGTCTTTTCTTAAACATGCATTATGCAAGAGCAAAATCTGCTTATTACAAGTCTTTCTTTAGGCCTGAAATGTTATCTAAATTATCAATTAGACATTAATTAACTTATCCAGACCATAATAAACTCTCGATGTCAAAGCTAGCCATCGATGTTGGCTGGATTAGATTCCTATATGCCGCTAACGGCCGTTGATAATTAAATCAGAAAAAGTGGATAATCGAGACTATGCTATTTATAAAATGATTTTAGTAATGATGACCGAGACTATGCAAAAATTTCACCTGCTTTTTTCTCGGCTCATAGTGGATCAATTTGACTGAAATTTTCAGCAAATTACCATTACACCATCTAGTTTTTAACTATTATAGCGAGAACTGCCATCTCTTTATCTTAGCTCCGATAATGTATCTTTAATGTGTTCAATTATTGAATGCTGTTTAAATAGAATAAATTTGTTTTGTTGTTTGCATGGTTAGACATGTTGTATTTTGAAATGCATGGACCAATTTACCAATTATCCAGAGAATGTTTTGGGGTTTTTATAACAGGTTTTAAGTGTAAAATTTTGCAAATATGTTTCATAGGATGCAATGGAAGATCAGAAAGAGAATGTGAAAAGGTTGCAAGGAAAATTACGAGAAAGTGAAAAGAAATTAAATGAGAAAATAGATGTTATATCGGTATGTTTTGAAATAAGTTGATATTGTTAATCTTTACGGGGGCCACAGGGACTCAGTGAGTATGTTTCCAGCTTACCAATTGGGAGGTCCCAGAATCCCAGTGTTGACTGAGATATTTCCTCCAGGGTTTTTCCATTAGGTTAGCATCTAATCTATTCGTTAGATGAGAATGAAAAACTGAGACCCTGTGTACACATTGGCGTGCACGTTAAAGAACCCTAGAGTTGGAATTAGATAAAGAGTAGGCAGACACACTGATGTCTCCTGTCTGACCTGTGGTTTCTTCTCGAAACCAAGCACCATATTTAAAATTCTTACGGTGACTAAGTAGGTAAAATGCTGGCTCACTAGCCTGGAGTGTTCGATCCCTGTGTTGGATGGCCGAATGGTTAGTATGTACGCGTTGTATCATAAGGTCTGTCAACTGACGAGGTTTTGATTCTCCGGTTGTATGTGACAAGGAGTAGGGTTGCCTGTCCAATCTCATGGGTTTTCTCCGGGTCCTCTGGTTTCTGCCCACTGCTAAAAAACCCTACGTGCAAGCGAATTCTTGAAATAAAATTGAACCATGTTAGTCCCGAAATTACCTTGGTTGTGTCGAGTGGACCTTAAACTCTCTCTCTCTCTTATATGTACTTAATTCCTATCAAGATTCTCATAAATTAACTATTCTTCTATTTTACAGAGGTTACAAGATCAGCTTTATGACTTAGAAAATGAAAATAAGGTAAAAAATAACATAGAAATAATTTTATAAAGTTTAAATTTAATGTGAAAAAATAAGTAAATGAGATTATATTATATATAGCTGTCAATTAAAAGAGATAATTGCCTCAGATTAAACGTGTAGGACCTGCATGAATTACTCAAATATTTTTGACAATTTTGCTGTTGCCATTGTGGCTCTCAAAATTCATGATACCATTGTGTATTATTAACCAGGGTTTGTGGGGAGGTGTGGTTGGACAAGTTGTAAGTTCATTGGTGGGTTAAGAAGATTTTTCAATCTGATTAAAATAGAGGTCTATATTTTGTTTCGTTTTTTTATACTTTCGATGACCTACACTACATGAAGATCTGACAAGTTATAGCAATAGGTCATGTCAGGGGTCAAAAGACCGACTTATGACCCTATGATGTCAGACATTTGATTAACCAATCAGCATTGATGTTACTAGTGGATTACCCACAGTTCCATGCAAAACACGCCTAAAGCTCGCCGTAACAGACCGTTTCATTGGCTTATCCCTGACACCATTCAGAACACAAGTTAAATAACAACTCTTCCAGATCCAAGTGTAGTAAAGACAAGTAAAATGAAATTTTGAACTATAAAAAGGAAACGAAATAGGATCTGTGTTTTAACCAGATTGGACGATTTTTCTAGCTCGGTTCTAACACTTGTAAGATATTGTTTAGTCGTTTACAAAAAGAGGTCTACCACCAGTGAAAATGTTGGTGTGCATGTAAATGAACCATGACCGGTGAAATTTAATAAACTTTACACAGGTAGGTTGAAATGCTGCTTACCAGGCAAAATTCCCCTTGCTAGTATCGCATATGTGGTCATAGAAAAACAAAAATTTAGTCTCAAAACAAAAAAAATAAGTCTCGAAATAACTAACATATTGTGTTGCCGATACAGATCGAACTCTATTCCCCTCCTGTAGTAGCTAGTTCCATATAGGTTGGTTGATCCACAAAAAGGGACTATTTAGAATATTTCCCAGCAGGAAATGGCCCCTTTTTAAAACTTTCTCAAATTTTAGGAGTTGGATAGAAAAACAAAAGTGAGTGAAAAAGAATTAACAAATTTAGAGGAGGGTTCATTTAAACGAGACAAAACAATACAGAGTCTCGTTCTGGCTCTTCATAGAAAATCAAAGGAGGTGAGAAAATCACGAATTTTGAAAAATGCACGGAAAAGTTGCACGATTTTAATATGAGTGGTTTTCTTGTCTTTGCATGCTTTGTTTATGATTCTATTCATCATTTAGAAGTTTATTTGTCATTATAAAATGTTTTTATTTTCTCCTGCCTGTACATGACGTATAAGATGATTCTCTAGGGTAGTGAAGTTTACAAAAGTGGTATCGGATGTTTGGGGGTTGGATGGCCGAATGGTAAGCGTGTTCGCGCTTTATCATAAGGTCTGTCATTGACTCATTGAGTCAACTGGCATGGTTTCTATTCCCCGGTTGTATGTGACAAGGCGTAGGGTCGCCTGTCCAAACTTGTAGAATTCCTCCGGGTCCTCCGGTTTCCTCCCACTGCTAAAGACTCCTACGCGCAAGCGAATTATTGAATTAAAATTGAACCATATTTTAGTCCCGAGTCGCATGCCCTGCTCCAAGTTGATACCTGCCACTATAACTCCTACTGGGTAGATGGAATTTAGTATCATCAGTGTTATTCACCGTCATTTTATTATCAGAGTTTTAGATTACAATAGTATAGAAATTATGACAAATACTTGCTCAAATTAAGTTTTTTTTATACACCAACACTGTTGTTGTCACCTAGCCCGTACACACAGCCTACGTGGGTGTATGTTTAGTTGCCTGGCAACTTTTTTATTTTTAAAATTTGGGCTTTTTATTGACACATTAACTATGGTCGTAATCAGGGTTCTTAATCCATTTTGAAACGAATCGGCCAGAATTGGGTCAAATAAGGTACCTGGAATTCATACGGAGCGTGGAAGACGCTCGATTGGCAAACCATGCCGAGATCGTCTTCTTTCGCCACGTGGGCTATTTTTACAAAAGCTGAATAATCAGCAAGCTTGTTTTATCCAAATTACCGTTAAATGTGCTAATTAGGCTACTCAGATTATGAACCATGGCCGATTCTCACTACGGTATGGCTGTTGTTGTAGTCGACAAGCAAGTTGATTGACTTCTTAATTAACATGTAATAATTAACCCGATGTAATTTAGCCGATAGAAGATTGATTATGATACCATAGTGGCCGGTTCATTGTTTTACCAATCGGCTTGAATAAGGATCAATCGGCTAAAGCCGACAAAAAAACAGCCGATTAAGAACACTGGTCGTAATGATAAAAAATTTCTCAAAATACCCGTCTTCATTAGCCCAGTCGGAGCAGAACAGTAGGACGTTAAACTCCATTTCATTTCATTTCTAATAATGTAATCTAAAGGCCTGGACCCTGTTTCACGAAATCTTAACTAAAGATGAAATCCAAATTTTAGTAGATACTTCAATTTTGATTGGCTAAGCACTAAAATCAACCTAATATTATCCAATCAAATTACTAAAATTTGGATTTTATCTTAGTTAAAATTTCGTGAAACAGGCCCCTGAATTTTGACTCTAGTTTATGTTGTGTATCACTGTGTTTATATATAACCCACATCATCCTGCATGATCTACACACTAACGACACCTGTTTCTAGGCCTTACACGACAAGATTAACCAATCAGAGGAAGAGAAGAAACTACACGAAGATAATACCTTCAAACGAGATAAGACAATCCAAGGTTTCGTATCAGCAATGAAAAAGAAAGAGAAAGAGGTATGAAGATCGATAAACTTTCAAAAAATGATCAAACTGTTTGCTTTCTGTAGATTTTACGGGGGGGGGGGGGGGGGGGGGGATGTCCGAATCGTTAACATGTGTTCGCTGTATCATAAGATCTGTCATTGAGTCAACTGGCATGTTTTTGATTCCCTAGTTGTATGTGACTAGGAGTAGGGTCGTCTGTCCAACCTCGTGGGTTTTCTCTAGGTCCTCCAGTTTCCTCCCACCAATAAAAAGCCCAACGCGCAAACGAAGTATTGAAATAAAACTGAACCATATGTTAGTCCAGATATGACCTAGTTTGTGTCGAGTGGACGTTAAACATCTGTAACCGACCAAAACACGTACATGGAAAACGGGCCTAATGGTTTTAATTGAATTTTTGTCTCTAGAGCTAAATTATAACCCACTAACAGCCCCTTAACAACCACAGTCAAAATATCTTAATTTGATAGGAAAAAAAAGCTTTAGGCTGTTACACGTTTTAAGAAAATTCAAATCTGGAAATTTTTGATACTTGAAATTGGATAGCACTACATAACATCACCACCGCCTTCTTGGAATTACCAGGAACCAAATGTGACATCACTACCGCCTTCTTGGAATTACCAGGAACCGAATGTGACATCACTACCACCTTCTTGGAATTGTGATGTAATATCAAAAGTTTAAATCAGTCAACCGTTATCCAATTATCCAAGGAACAAGCAGGTCAAATTTCATGTAGGTTTTACTTGAATTGGTGAAAGCCTTACACTTTTTTACGACGAGCGTTGTCCCCAAGAACAAGATGAGTAAAGCTTTGGGGCCAGTTGCTGGTCCAAAAATACCCACCTTGAAAGCTTTTTTATTTTTTAGACTACATGAACAGCCCTTCAAATTGTAATCTAGATCATTCATTCATTCATTAGCCTGTTCTTTCAATCATGTATTTAGATATATAGAGATTGTGAGTGTTGTATTTTTATTAAATATTGCATGAGATGAAGTTAATTTCTCCATATTATTACATTGTCTTTAGATGTTTTGTGGTTGTTAAAAGGGTAGTTCAGTTTAATAATCCAAATGGATTTTTTTTTTTTTTTTTAAATATAAAAATGATAGCCTTTTTAATTAAAAGATTGTACAATTATATAATAAGTGTTTTAATGAAAAGAATGTAATGTTTAATAAGTGTTATACAGTACAAATATCCCTCATGTATATATTATTATTTTTTTTTCTTAATGAACTTTTAAAACTTCAAATATATTTACGAATTGGTTAATCTATAATTAGCAATAAAATTAATTATTTTTGTGTAAATGTTCCAAGCCTAAATTATTTTATTTGTCATCGTTTTAGATTACAGCGTTAAGAGAGAAATTAAGCCAATCAGAAGATCAGATAGAGAAATTAACAGAGGATCTACATAAGACAAATTTAGCCAATAACAAGGTGTGTATTATATTCATATAGATGTTGATGTTATGCATTCTGAATTTTTTGTTGATTCTGTTTGGGTTTGATATCGTATTTAGCTAAGGGACATTGAAAAATTTTAACGCATGCGTCCAAACAAATACCCGTGGAATTGGATGTGTGGTTTGAACGACACCTCAAATGGAAATTAACCCACGGAACTTAATGGGTGATTTGAACAACACTGCGAATGGAAATTCACCCACAGAACTGGATTGGTGATTTGAATGACACCTTGAATGGAAATTCACCCACGGAACTGGATGGGTGATTTGAATGACACCTTGAATAGAAATTCACCCACGGAACTAAAATCAACCCTTCGGATTTCCAAAGATATGATTTCCAAATTTAGTAGAAAGTCTTTGAGAATTGGTCAAAGCTTTGTCTCACATGAAAAGTAGGCACTAGTATTATTGAAATAAAAAATTATACAATTCGTAAGTCCCAAAATGATCTAGTTTGTGTCGAGTAGAAAATTTTGCTGCTCAATGTTAAGCAGAAGTTCAGTTTCCAGCAACTAAACATTGTTGCTTCACGGTATAAATTATTTGCTAGACTTGGTTGGTTATTTGTCTGCGATATCACTTCTGTGAAAGCAGACGTTAAAGCACCAGGTAGTAGTAGTAGATTGGTTATTATTATTGTCGTGCTTAGGAGAATGTTATGCTTAAAGATACATTATGGGAGATTAGATAAAGAGGTGGCAGTTCTCGCTATAATAGTTAAAAAATAGATAATGTAAAGGGAATTTGCTGAAAATTTCAGTCAAATTGATCCACTCTGAACCGAAAATTTAGCAATTGATTTTTAGGCCTAGCCTCGATCATCATTACTAAAGTCGGTACAATAAAAAACATGGACTCAATTATCCATTTTTTGATTTAATCATCAATAGATCGGATTCTAATCCAGTAAATATCGCAGGCTAGCGTGAGTTGATTTTGGTCTATATAAGTTAATTAATGTCTAATTAATAATTTAGATAACATTTCAGGCCTAAAGAAAGACCTGCAATAGGCAGATTTAGCTCTTGCATAATGTATGTTTAATACTGTTAGAAAATAATGTACCATGAAATTATTGCTACCAGAAATGAGTATATTGTAATTAATGCGACTGACGATATATAACATTTTACACACAAATTTCTTGCTCGCGTTAATTTACCTGGGGAATACTTGATTGGACCGTTCCAGAATTGAATATTCTCAATCCAAAAACAATATGACCATATATGGAATAAGATCAGTGGTTAATAAAGTAGCTTTTGAACAAGTTTTCTTGCGGGTGAAAACAAGAGAACACTTGTAGAAACATTGTACTGTATGTAAATAATGAAACATGGATTTATTCCATATCAATTGCTGTTTTTTGCGGGAGACTCCGGGATCTCAAACATAAGAGGAGGACCTTTCTCTTGGAAAATGGCCATATGCCAATGCTATTTTTACTTAAAGTGGCATTATGTAAGATTTAGATTAAGAGCTGGCTGTTCTCGCTATCAATGGTTGTAGTTTTGACAATATGTGTGCATTGATAGTAATATCCGTACTGGTCATTCAAGTCTTAGCCTCGCTTCTCCATTTTTAAATTAAATCATTAAATGGCCAAACCATTCTAATCTACTTAAAATAGGAGCCATCAGATGACATCGAGAGTTGATTATGGGCTTCTTGTCATGTTAATAAATGTCTAATTAATCATTTATAAGCTTATAACATTTAAGGCCTAAAGAAAGACCTGCAATAGGCAGATTTAGCGCTTATGTAATGCCTGTTTAATTGATTAACTACTTAATTAATCTGTCTTGATTGACGTTCTCATTAAACTCTCCTGTATTCTGTTTTTTTCATACCTGGCTGTTGTATCATAATGTGCTCAGTTGCTAAAAGCCACTCAAGTATTATATTCTTTAAATTCTTCAAAAGTTGTTAATCACATAAACCAACTAATTACATACTATCTGGACCAATCACCATTTCTGAAATTGGCAGAAGGTTTGTGTGTGAAATTCTGTCATGGCATCAATTTGCAATGTTCTGGACTGAGTGACAATCAAGTAACCCCTACGTTTTGCCGTGCCCTAAACATGTGAAATAGCCAACCCATATTATATAGAATTTAGGAACAGGAAAAGGGTACGGCAAAACTCCCTTAGAGAGTAATTAAAGCTGGACAGGCTGATACATCGGCGTGGAGACTGGATCAAAAGATGATACCGAGGAGGCGGAGTAATAAAATAAAATTAAAGAATCCCTGCTCAACAGAATACATAACAGACTTGTAGAAGTAGAAGATGGTTTAATGGGTCGACATTTCGGATGCAATACCATTTATCAAGAAAAAAGTATTGCACCCAAAATGTCGACCCATTAAACGATCTTCTACTTCTACAAGTCTGTTGTGTATTCTGTTGAGCGGGGATTTTTTAATTTTATATAGAATTTACTACTGGCATATAACTGAACTTATAAAAATATTAATTTAACTTTTAAATGATCACAACCTCTTTCGTGCAAATTAAAGTTATGAGTTGGGTTAATCTGTTGAATTATTTTTGATAACCAATTACCGTAGAATTAGTAAGTTTCTTTCATTTTCAAGTTTGATATGCAATATCTGTTTATAGCTCAAATTTCAATTTTTCTACCACTTTTAATCTCATGAAATTCAATTAGATTGACTTTTTTTATATTCTTAAAACCCAAATGAAATAGGTTGTGTGACTTTTAACGTTTATATAATATATTTAAATATTTATGCTTGTTTGTTTACTTATTTATATAATAATTAGTTTGTTTTAGATTAGAGCTCTCATTTTGGAACTTTGTCACCAAGACTTTTCTTTAAATTCCATTTAATCTTAACCAAAAGATCCGTCTTCATTAGCCCAGTCGGTGCAGAAAAGTAAGACGTTAAACCCTCATTTCATTTCTCCGATAGACTGGTGACATTGCAAAATTAACATTAAACGTTGTAACACTTTTCTTCTGGGCATTGGTGCATTGCAAACACCAGTTATAAGTAAAAATCGTTTACTACCGCAAAATTATTGGAAAATTTATCTGCATTAGTGTATCGTTGGTGAAGTGTTAAAAGGGTGTATCTCTGGAAATTAGTCAAATACACTTTTTTGCATTTTTAAAATCTCCCAATTAATATGCACATTTCTTTCTAATCTGTGTATCTCTACGCCAATTAGAACTGTTCTGGTATCATGTATCCAAATGTTGTATCTTAGAATTTCTTAGATACACCCTTTTGACACTTCACCGACGTTATATATTTTAATGTGAAATTTTAAATATATCTTTTCTAAACGCGTGTCTACGGATGCAAACGCCGGAATTTATTGTCATGGTTCTGGTTGGGTTGCATCTCAGGTCACAGATATTTATTTACATGTAAATTCAGTTTCCAGTAAGACATCCATGGACATCCATTGTTTAATCAATCGGCGTTGACGTTTCTAGGGGCTTACCCACAGTTCTGTGCACAGCACACCAAGAACTCGCTGTGAAAGACCATTTCATTGGCTAATTCCTCACATCAACTAGAACGCCCGTTATATAACAAGTCTTCCAGATCCAAGTGTAGTAAAGACAAGTAAAACGGAATTTTGAACTATAAAAAAACGAAACGAAATAGAACCTGTGTTTTAACCAGATTAGGGACAAGTGACGATCGTAGAAATGAGAGCTCTTGTTTTATTTGTTTGGATTGATTGATTTGTTTTGTTTGTTGTGATGTGTTGTGTTTTAATCAGATAACGGACTCCATGAAGGAAGAAAACGTGGTAAAGGGTGAAAAAATAGAATTTCTAGAAAATCAGATGAAAAATACGTCTGATGAAATGGAGGTAGAGATTTTATATAACACATATAACATTGCTTAATCACTTATCTGGCTTCAAATTTGGAGCTAGGTCCTCCCAGCTGGGAGTCCAAGAGTTTAGTCTTAACCATAAATATCTTACTTATAAATAGATTACACAGCTCACTTTGGAAGAAAATCAACGTTCACTTATCTGGTCTCAAATTTGGGACTAGGTCCTCCCAGCTGGGAGTCCAAGAGTTTAGTCTTGACCATAAATATCTTACTTATAAATAGATTACACAGCTCACTTTGGAAGAAAATCAACGTTCACTTATCTGGTCTCAAATTTGGGACTAGGTCCTCCCAGCTGGGAGTCCAAGAGTTTAGTCTTGACCATAAATATCTTCCTTATAAATAGATTACACAGCTCACTCTGGAAGAAAATCAACGTTCACTTATCTGGCTTCAAATTTGGGACTAGATTGCTGGGAATCCGAGAGTTTAGTCTTAGGTACCTGTTGGGCATAAATATCTTCCTTATAATTATAACTAGGTTACACAGCTCAGGTTGGAAGAAATTCAGCGTAACACATTCGCTCTTAAATCTGCTGTGATATTTTTAATCATGTTTTATTTGATATGATTTTTGCATGTCCATTTTTTCTTGATTACAATTTACATAAACGTAAGTTAAAGAACGGTCACTATGGCGTTTCGTAACTTTATGCAAAAGTTCATCATGATTTTCCGACGTGGTTTCCCCCCTTGTCATTGTTGCTGTCTAGTTGTTCGGATGTGATGAAAATCTGAGATCCTGTGTATGCATTGGCGTGCACGTAAAAGATCTCTTGGCAGTTGGAATTCGATATAAGAGTAGGCGATAGTGCCTCTGCTTGGACAAAATTTCCCTCATAGCACACTGTATGGCGTATGCCCATCTTCATTAACCCAATATAGGAGTAGAGCAGTAGGACGTTAAACCACATTTCATTTCATTTGCTTTATCATTGATATTCGTCCTAGCCGTCCCCACTTTCTTGTATGACAAATGAAAAACTGATGAGACATTGTCGTGCACATAAATGAACTCTTAATAGTTGGAAATCAATGATGAGACAGAAATACCACTGCCTTGACAAAATTGTTCTCCCTAGCATTGCTAATATGACAATAGAAACAAACTATAACCATATGATAGTCTTGAAATGATTGAAGTATGTTAACGGCACATTAAACTCCAACCCTCTCCTTGTCTCAGAATAAGAGAGAGAGAGAAATGGGGTTTAACATCCACTTGACACAAACTAGGTCATTTCAGGACTAACATATGGTTCAAGTTTATTTCAATAATTCGGTTGCACGTAGGGATCTTTAGCAGTGGGAGGAAACAGGAGGACCCAGAGAAAACCTATGAGGCTAGACAGGCAACTCTACTCCTAGTCACGTACAAGTTGGGATTCGAAGCCATTAGACCCACCACTGTCGTCTCAGAATACGACCAAGTCCCTTTGCCAGACACAGTATACTACAATGTACGATGTTCTCTGTTGTAGAAATTATTAAAGAGCCTGGGAAAGAAAGATGGTGAATTAGTTGGTTTTAAAGAAATGTTAGGAAAGGCTGAGGAAGCTTTAAAGAAAAGTGAAGAGGCATTAGAGGTAATTATATGTGACGTCATTCTTTGATGTTGCCGTACCATTATTTCAAATAACGGTACGGGCAATGTGCCAATCGTACATTATTTATACTAGTACTAGTTGAAATATTGGACTTGTGTGACAATTTCATTTAAATCCATGTACAAATAACTGAAATTCATTTTTTTGACAGGAATAATTTACAAGATGAATATATCTCAACATTAAAATTTTAATATTATAAAACTAAGTATATATGTATTAATATTGTAGAATTAAGATTAGGAAATAATAAAAAAAGTGTATTTATTTCAGGGTTTACAAGAACAATTAAATCAGGAGAAACAAGATGGACAGAAACGTACAGATAAACTATCACAACATTATCAGGTAGGGTACTATTATAGAGCTACAGGGAGTACGGTCACTTGACAAACATTGTGTGTTTTATCTGGGAATTCCAGCCACATAGTCTATACTGTGGCAGTCCTACTCAATATTCACTCAGTAAATTACAGAATTCCTCAAAAAAACAAACAAGGTCATACAAATATAAAACAGGTATTATGTTATACACCATCTCTATATTAATTGGAGGCACACCCAGTAGCTCAGTGAGACAGGCACTGGCTCGCGAACCACGATGGTTCAGTGGGTAAGGTACTGGCTCGCGAACCATGATGGTTCAGTGGGTAAGGCACTGGCTCGCGAACCATGATGGTTCAGTGGGTAAGGTACTGGCTCGCGAACCATGATGGTTCAGTGGGTAAGGCACTGGCTCGCGAACCACGATGGTTCAGTGGGTAAGGTACTGGCTCGCGAACCACGATGGTTCAGTGGGTAAGGTACATGCTCGCGAACCAGGATGGTTCAGTGGGTAAGGTACTGGCTCGCGAACCACGATGGTTCAGTGGGTAAGGTACTGGCTCGCGAACCACGATGGTTCAGTGGGTAAGGTACTGGCTCGCGAACCACGAAGGTTCAATGGGTAAGGTACTGGCTCGCGAACCACGATGGTTCAGTTGGTAAAGTACTCTGTAAGCCTCTGGTTTGTGAAGCACAGTGGCTCAGTTAGTAAGACACTTGCTCACTAACCACGGTGGCTCAGTGAGTAAGACTGTGTCTTACTAACCACAGTGGTCTAGGTTTGATCCTGGTGCTGGCCAAAGAAAGTTCCCCAGGATTTTCCATGCAGAATGTAGGGTGTGACATTCATTGGTTTCTATATTACAGGTATTATTAGAAGATGTTGAAGGACAAGTGAATAGTAAAGAGAAGTTATTACATCAATTAACACAGAGATTACAAGATAAAGATAAACAATTACACGATTGTTTTAATCTTCTAGATAAAGATCATTTTCAGGTAGGATAACTCAATACAGGGGATATAACTAGTCACAATAATTACTACAGACACAGGTGATACAACTAGTCACACATACGCAAGAAACCAGAAAGTCTGCCATTGAGTTAAGTTGCATGGTTTCGATTCCCTGTCTGTATGCAACAAGGAGTAGGGTCACTTGTCCAACCTCATGGGTTTCTCTGGATTTTCTAGTTTCCTCCCACTGATAAAGACCCCTAGACCCAAGCGAATTATTGTAATAAAATTGAACCATACGTTAGACCCAAAATGACCTAGTTTGTGTCGAGTGGATGTTAAACCCCATATCTCTGTCCCCGTACAGACACAATCATGGCCTATGATTGTATTCTTTATGACATAGGGACCTCTGTAGTCAATTGGGTAGGGTTCCGAACGTGTACTAACAACAAATTTAACCCCATTTTTATTCTTTTCTATTATAATACAGCGTAAATATCATTGTTGTTGTTTCAAGTTAAAACTGAGAAACGCTTTTGTTTGTTATATAGATTGAAGAAGGTAAGAATCCTGTTGATTTACTGAAAAAACTTCAACATAAATTAAAAGAGAAGGAAACATTGGTTGAGGTATGTTATAAATGTTTTTGTATATAGTGAAAAGGGGGATTTGATTAAACATTCTACAATAGAATTCTCAACATTCTTCAGACGGCATCAGCCCAGAATATCAGTAACAAGGAAATGAAATGGGGTTTAACGTCCTGCTGTTCTGCACCGAAATGGGCTAATGAAGACGGGCATACACCATACAGTGTGCTATGAGGGAAATTTTTCCCGGTAAGCGGCACTATGGCCTACTCTTATATCGAATTCCAACTGCTAAGGGATCTTTTATGTGCATGCCAATGTATACATGGGATCTTGGATTTTCGTCCCACCCTACTGACTAGACAGCTGTCCTTGTCAGGCCCTCCATCCTGCACCACTGACAAGGGGAAAGCTCCCCGGAAATTCCTGATAAACTTTCTCGGCCAATGCAGGGATCGAACACGAGGCCTCCAGACTTGTGAGCCAGTGGCTTACCCACTTAGCCACTGGTGGCTTCCATGTAAAAAAAACATTGGCCAACTGAATATTATATAATACTATCTCAATTTGATTATGTAAGAATTATGCTCACACCACATCTGTTTTCGGCCTGGGATTTGGGAAAGATCTGGACGAAAAATCAAGTGCCCCAATAATTGCTAAATGACATTGAGATAGAGAAGGTCAAACATTAAGATTTCCATTAAAACAGTTTATGTTGTACATTGATGATGAGTATTTGATTGAGATTGGCAATAAATAATATATTACACATTGATGATGAGTATTTTATCGAGATTGACGATATTGATGATAAGTATTTTTTGAGATTGACAGGACATTGATGATGAGTATTTTATCGAGATTGACGATGTTGATGAGTATTTTATTGAGATTGACGATGTTGATGATGAGTATTTTGTTTATTTTAGAATTTAGAAGCAGAGAAACAAAATATAGTAGATGAGAAAGAAAGTGAAATACGTAATCTCAAACAATCGATACGAGAAAAGGATCGTGATTTAAATCAAGCCAATCAGATGTTAGTAAGAGCAGAAGATAATGTTGAGGTATAGTATATACTGTTGGTTGATTAGAGGAGCCATGGTGAGTAGGACGTTGGCTTGCTAACCTGGAGGTTCCATGTTCGATCCCTGCGTTGGCTGAAAAAGTTCATCGTGATTCTACGGCACCGGGAGCAAACCCACTACCTCCAGACTAGCGAGCCGGCATCTTACCCATTTAGCCACCGTGACTCCGGAGAAATATATGGATAAATGCTGCTGTTGAGGCTAAATTTTCCTACTCCACATTGCACGCATATCAAAAATTTAGAGTGGGTTGTTCATTTGATTTCTCCCAGAAATCAATCCTTTTAATACTGGGGATATGCAAAACATGTTGTTGCTAAGTATTGTTTTGGTTATGTTGTTGTATTTGGTCTATATATATATTTGCCTCATACCTGTTTTACTGTATTAGCTTGATAACGTTGAGAGAATACTCTACGAAACGTCGCCTTAGATATACTAGTAGCTGTTTTCCATAAGTATGTGTTTTGTTGTTACGCTATCCAGTTACTAAATGCCATGTTAGTTCCTTGTGACGGAGTTTTATTTTATTTTTTCTCCCCCAGAATCTAGAACGAGCAGTAGAAGAAAAAGAGGAAAATATGAAACAGTTATCAAAATGTCTTCAGGCTGCCCAAAAGTCATTTGAGGTAAATATATGTGAATTTTCAGATATCAAGGTGTCAAGCTTTGAAATAAAACACCTGTCACAGACAATGTCAGGTACAAATTTAGGCTTTGTCAGGCTCAGTCAATCTTGTGTCTGTCATTTTATCTGTTATAGATGTGTTGTTTAATGTTATTTTTAATATATTTCTGGTACAAAGTTCAAAATGTGAGGAGGCTTATTCACAAAAACTTAGAAATAATAGCATGTGCACGCTGTATCATAAAGTCTGTCATTAAGTCAACTGACGTGGTTTCGAATCCCCGGTTGTACGTGACAAGGAGTAGGGTCGCCTGTCCAACCTCGTGGGTTTTCTCTGGGTCCTCTGGTTTCCTCTCACTGCTAAAGACCCCTACGCTCAAGCAAATTATTGAAATAAAATTTAAAAAAACATTTGTTAGTCCTGAAATGACCTAGTTTGTGTCGAGTGGACCTTAAACACCCTCTCTCTCTCTCTCTCTCTCTCTCTCTTCGATTTTTGATATGTGACAATTCCAAGATGGCTGCGATGATGTCATGCTCTCATCCTGGTCCATTCACTTGATTTAGTATTTGTTGATTATCGCTTCAGTCTGATTAAAACACAGATCCTATTTCGTTTCGTTTTTATAGTTCAAAATTTTGTCAAAAGTACTTGTCTTTAATACACTAGGATCTGGAAGGGTTGTTAGATAACCCACGTTCCTATTGATGTGAGGGATTAGCCAATGAAGCGGCCTGTTACTTCAAGTTTTTGGCGTAAGCTGTATTGAACTGTGAGGGATTAGCTAATGAAACGATCTGTTACGTCAAGTTCTTACCGTGTGGTGCATGGAACTGCGGGTAACCCACTCAAAACATCAACGCTGATTGTTTAATCAATGTCTGACGTCACAGGGTCAAAAGCCGCTCGTATAACCCCCAACACGACCTTCCACTAGAACTGGTCAGATCTTCATGCATAAGAGGCCATCAAAAGTATAAAAAAACGAAATATAGATCTGTATTTTAATCTGATTGTTATTGCTTGCAGTGTCTGTGTAGTTTGTCTGATCTGTTTTGATTGCATGTGGTGCTGTGCTCCTGTACTTGTTATTAATGTATTCTGTTAATTGATGTCAATAGAACTTAATATATTTATTTAAATATATTTTAAGATTTTTGACAGAAGATTGTCCGATCCTCTAGGGATGTCCAACCGATCATGGGATGATGATCCGTGGGGGATTGGTCAATCTTTCACTGAACCAGAGGTTTGTATAACCTGCTTATATCGTACTACCTGGTGGTTAGGGTCCTGGTAAACATCATCATACTCTTTATACCCATGTATAATTAATGAAATGAAATGAAATGGGGTTTAATGTCCTACTGTTCTACTCCGACTGGGCTAATGAAGACGGGCATATGCCATATAGTGTGCTAAGAGGAAAATTATTCCCGGGCAACGGCAATCTGGCCTACTCTTATATCGAATTCCAACAGCCAAGGGATCTTTAACAACGTGCATCTCAATGTATACATGGGACCTCGGTTTTTCGTCACATCTGATGGACTAGACAGCTGTCCCATGTCTAATAACTTGTGGGGGGGGGGGGGATTGAGTGATCCAATGCATGCATTTTAGATCATAAGGTCTGTCTAATCAATCTGTAAATACAGGCTAGAAAGTATGAATCAGCCATCTTAGAATTGTGATTTCATATCGGTTAGGTTGCTGAATGGTTTAATGTTTACTCTTAAGATCGTACAGTCTGCCATTGAGTCAAGTGACATGGTTTCCATCCCAGGCTAGTACGTGACAAGGAGTAGGGTTTGTCTGCCTAATTTGTAGGTTTTCTCCAGGTCCTCAAGGTGGTCAAGTGGTACACTTGGGTATTCTCCAGCTGCCCGGTTTCCTCCCACTCCTAAAGGAGGTGGTCAAGTGGTACACTTGGGTATCCTCCAGGTGCTCTGGTTTCCCCCCACTCGTAAAAGAGGAGGTCTAATGGTCTAACACATGCTCTGTAGATTATAAGGTCTTGTCAATGTGTCACCTTCCACTTCTAAAGACCCCTACGTGCAAACAATTTATTGAAATAAAATTGTACCCTGGTAGTACCAAAATGACCTATTTCTGTCAAGTGGATGTTAAACCCCATTTTTCTCTCGCATTCTTTCTAATAACTATTTCAAACATATTCTTATAGTCATCTGGCTTGGAATTAATAATCATAGTTATACCAGACAAAATGTCAGACACTAATCAACTAGCTATAGTACCTGATATTTTTAACTTGTGCTGAACATGTATTTAGGCCATTTATATTACATTAAGCGAAGCCGCAAAGTGAGGAATTTTCTTTGCATACCCCAGCTTGGCAGGGACGTTTTAGCATTGCAACGTCTTCGCAGATCAATTTTCCAGCAAAGCTTTGGTCAAACGTCAGAGCCGATCAGCATCAAGACGTGATGCATCTAACAAGACCAGCTTCGCTCACTACAATCGCCAGCGTTTTAATTTTTTAGCTTAGCTTAGCTTAATATAAACCGGCCTTTGAGCATAGAAACGCTGAACAAAAACAAGACAAAACTGTACTGAACAAAATGGCAGCATTTGAGGAATTACGTCTGACAAAGCCAGAATTTATGCCTGTCATTGTCTGTATCAGGTGCCTAATATACAAACTTGATGGCATTGTCCAGTAACTATTGTTGTACTCTAAAAACCATGTTAGATCAATCGTCTGGATAGCTGAGTCTACTACCTTTGTTAATTTAGCTATTTTCCTTACAGATAGTTGTATTACTACTCACCAGGGGCACTGATCACATCTGGTTTTCCTAAATTAATAATTATATGCTCCAGGCTATAGCTAACTAATAATTATCGGCTCCAAGCTATAATTAACTAATTATTATTGGACCAGGCTATAGTTAACTAATAATTATTCGATCGGACTATAGCTAGCTAATAATTATTGCCTCCAGACTATAGTTAACTAATAATTATTGGCTTCGGGCTATAGTTAACTTATAATTATTATTGGATATGACTGGAGTTAATTAATAATTATTGGATCAGGCTATAGTTAACTCATAATTAGCTATACATGTAGCTAACTAATAATTATTGGACCAGGCTATAGTTATTGGATCTGACTGGAGCTAATTAATAATTATTGGACGGGGCTATAGTTAACTAATAATTATTGGCTCCGGGCTACAGCTAACTAATGATTTTTATCATATTCTCTCGATTTACTGCTGACAAATATTACTGATAACGATTGCTGGCTAAATGAGTAGGAGGTAAAAAGATAAAGTCAGAATCTTATTCTCAAGCTGTAAAAAGATTATGCACTTGCCAAGCCAGCTATTTTGATATCATTAGCTGGTAAATATCTATTGTCTACGATGTGGAGAGAGGGATAAAACTTTTACAAGAAGAAATTAATGATTTTGTTAATCTATTAAATGTCTTGAATATGTGCCACACGTAGGGAACACAATATACGTCCACATTTGATAGGTTTGAAATCCAATCTGATTAAAACACAGATCCTATTTCATTTTGTTTTTTTATAGTTCAAATTTTCGTTTTACTTGTCTTTACTACACTAGGATCTGGAGGAGTTGTTATATAACCCGCGTTCTGGTTGATGTAAAAGATTAGCCAATGAACCAGTCTGTTACGGCGAGTTCTTGGCGTGCGGTTCATGGAACTGTGGGTATACGACTAGAAACATCAACTCTGATTGATTAATCAATGTCTGACGTCATTGGGTCAAATGCCGCTTTTATGACCCCTGACGCAACCTCCCACTACAACCGGTCAGATCTTCATGCAGTGTAGGCCATCGAAAGTGTAAAAAAAAACTAAACAAAATATAGATGTGTATTTTAATCAGATAGGTTTGAAATTATACATAGTGCTAATTTGTTTGAAATAATATCTAGTGTTAAAGCGGGGTTTAAACTAGGGAATGTAGAGTTTGTCTTACGGATAGACCTTATGTCTGTTTACACTGTCTGACATCAATAATGACTGATCTAATCAAGGAAATAATACTGGCTGTTTCTAATCAAAGAAGTAATAATGACTCATCTAATCAAGAAAGTAATAATGACTGATCTAATCAAGGAAATAATAATGACTGATCTAATCAAGAAAGTAATAATGACTGATCTAATCAAGGAAATAATAATACTGATCTAATCAAGGAAGTAATAATGACTGATCTAATCAAGAAAGTAATAATGACTGATCTAATCAAGGAAATAATAATGACTGATCTAATCAAGGAAGTAATAATGGCTGATCTAATCAAGGAAGTAATAATGACTGATTTAATCAAGGAAGTAATAATGACTGATCTAATCAAGAACATTATAATGACTGATCTAATCAAGGAAGTTATAAATTCCTGTAAATTTGATTGTCTGTAGCATGAAAATAGAACCTGTTCGATTGAGCAGATCAGATCAGACAGATCCGTCTACGAGGCAATCCCACGGATTAATAATATAATCGCGGCTTTAAACCATATTTTTATCTAATCCCCAGGAAGCCATGGATAACCACATGCGTACAATCGACCAGAAGACCGATATGATAAATAGATTAAAATCATCAGTTGAGGCCAAGGAAGCAGCTCTTGAGGTTTGTTTTAATATTTATTACATAATTTGGGGGTTGGATGGCTAAATGGTTTTCATGTGCATTGTATCATAAAGTCTGTCATTGACCAGATTATCAGAAGATTGAATCCTGTGTGTGCCAAGAAGAACCATAGGGATTTCTCAAACCTTGTTCAGACTTGTCAGGATTGGTGAAAGGAAATGATGAGCCAACATAGAGATAAGAATAAAAGTTGTTCATTATTTAATACATGTATTTATAGGAGTCTGTAGAGTTGTTCATTATTTAATACATGTATTTATAGGAGTCTATAGAGTTGTTCATTATTTAATACATGTATTTATAGGAGTCTGGGAGCCACGGTGGCTAGGTGGTTAAGACACTGGCTCGCTAGCCTGGAGGTCGGGTGTTCGATCCCTGCATTGGCCGAGAAAGTTCATCTGGATTTTCCGACGTGGTTTCCCCTTGTCAGTGGTGCAGAACGGAGGGCCTGACAAGTACAGCTGTCTAGTCATTCGGATGAGACGAAAAACCGAGGTCCCGTGTATAATTGGAATGCACGTAAAAGATCCCTTGGCAGTTGGAATTCGATATAAGAGTAGGCGATAGTGCCGCTGCCCGGGCAAAATTTCCCTCATAGCACACTGTATGGCGTATGCCCGTCTTCATTAGCCCAGTATAGGAGCAGAACAGTAGGACGTTAAACCCCATTTCATTTCATTTTCATTTCATTTATAGGAGTCTATAGAGTTGTTCATTATTTAATACATGTATTTATAGGAGCCTATAGAGTTGTTCATTATTTAATACATGTATTTATAGGAGTCGGTATAGTTGTTCATTATTTAATATATACAGCTATAGGAACCTATAGAGTTGTTAATTATTTAATGCATGTATTTATAGGAGTCTATAGAGTTGTTCATTATTTAATACATGTATTTATAGGAATCTATAGAGTTGTTCATTATTTAATACATGTATTTATAGGAGTCTATAGAGTTGTTCATTATTTTTAAAATATATACATTTATAGGAGCCTATAGAGTTGTTCATTATTTAATACATGTATTTATAGGAGTCTATAGAGTTGTTCATTATTTAATATATACATTTATAGGAGCTGATAGAGTTGTTAATTATTTAATACATGTATTTATAGGAATCTATAGAGAAGAGTCCAGCTTTATCGACAGATCAAGTGAAGAAACTAAAAAAACAGTTGAAAGATAAAGAGGCTATCATACAGGTAGATAATTATTTATTTTAAAAACTTTTGAAAATATTGAAAAGCAACTTCAGTACTGCAATGGAGCCATACAGTTGAATCAGCTCTTGGTTAGAATCAATGAAAATATGGGACGTGGTTGTAATATTTGACTATGTTTTTATATAGAAATTATTAAATGACCCCATTACCCAACTGGGACGTGGTTGTAATATTTGACTCTGTTTTTATATAGGAATTATTAAATGAGAAACATAAACTATCTGAGGAGAACGAGATGATGTCGAGAGATTTCTTCAATAGATCACAGATTAAAGATCATGATTTAAAGGTGAGTCATTTGTCAGATTTATAACATTTTTACTACAGAATTCTGTGCTACATTCATTTTACTGTGTACTATTCTACCGCTACCTGGGAATAAAAGTGACTCACTAAACAGAAGGTCACAAGTTCAGTCCTGTTGTTTGTAGGACGGTGGGATAAAAAAAAAATGAGATCCAATATATACCATTCGAACCAGATTAAAGATCCCCTGACAGTTGGAAATAAAAGTATGGAGGAGATCATAGCGTGGCTGCAAGGGCAGAATGTCACCCGTGGCATATGTTACTGGTTGGTGCACACCCTCATGCCATATTTCACTGATTGGTGCAGGCCCTATGCCCTGCAAATCAGTCAGCACCAGGGTTGAACCAAGGTTTTCCTGATTATTGAGTCAGTGCCATACTCTCCAATCAAATCAAGGTTTGAATTGTAGGCAATCATTTTAAGATCTCTCTGCATCGTTTTCTCTGTTTTCCCTGTCTAGTCGTTCGGATTGGGCGGAAAAACTGAGGTCCCGTGTGCACGTAAAAGATCCCTTGACAGTTGGAATTCGATATAAGAGTAGGCCATAGTGCTGCTGTCCAAGCAAAATTTCCCTCATAGCACACTGTATGGCGTATGTCCGTCTTCATTAGCCCAGTTCGGAGCAGAACAGTAGGACGTTAAACCCCATTTCATTTCTCTGTTTTCCAGTCGTTACTAGAGAAACATATGAAAGAAAAGAGTAAACTGGATAAAGATATTCAAGATTTACAATCAGATTTAAATAAACGAGATCTAGAAATACAGGTGAGTAGATTTATATAAAGGTAATCTAGAAATACAGGTGAGTAGATTTATATAAAGGTGATCTAGAAATACAGGTGAGTAGATTTATATAAAGGTGATCTAGAAATACAGGTGAGTAGATTTATATAAAGGTAATCTAGAAATACAGGTGAGTAGATTTATATAAAGGTAATCTAGAAATTTTCACTTGATTGTCACTACTTGGGGGATTTAGAGAATTCAATTTCAGAAGGGTTATTTTGATTGAAAATGGTCATCGTGGGATGTAACCCAGTCTAAACTCAGCAATAAATGTGTCAGTGTGTGTATTAAGTTTGCATATATATTTTTTTATTTTAAACAGAGGTTAGAAAACAACAGAGTATGGACAGAAGATCAGATCGATAAATTACGCGATTCCATGAAAGAAAAAGATAAAACCATAGAGGTATGTATAAATTGTGGGGAGTTGGATGACCGAATGGTTAGCACATGCGCTGAATCATAAAGTCTGTCATTGAATCAACTGGTGGGGTTTTGATTCCCCGGTTGTACGTGACAAGGAGTAAGGTAGCCTGTCCAACCTCGTGGGTTTTCTCAGCGTCCTCCGGTTTCCTCCCACTGCTTAAGACCCCTACGCGCAAGCGAATTATTGAAATAAAATTAAACCATATGTTAGTGCCGAAATTACCTAGTTTGTGTTGAGTGGACGTTAAACCCCATCTCTCTCTCTGTCTCTCTCTCTCTCTCTCTCTCTCTCTCTCTCTCATTTGGTGCTGAAAGGTATGATGCTAAACCTGATTCATTTAATTTTATTTTGTAGGCCTTGTTTGAAAGCGGTAAAGAAAAAGATAAATTATTACAACAGTCACAGGCGAGATCACCTTCCCAATCATCATCTACCGTTGACCTGGCACACGTTCAAGCTTTACAAGACGAGATCGCCTTCCTCTTAAATCATCTGACAAATAAGGACGCCCTGATCAACCAACTCCGCGGTAAAACAGATCAGTCACCATGGCAACAACAAGAGATTGATCGTCTGTCAGATGAACTCTTGAAAAAAAATCAGGTTTGTTATAATCTTTATACGCCCACAAGGCTACATTTTTTTAATGGACTTGTACAAATTTAGTCAACATCCAAGTTTTCCTTTCAGATAAGAATCTATATGTAATGATGTAGATGTGTGTATAGAATCTTAAAGCAATGTAATGATGTGTATAGAATCTTAGATAAAGCAATGTAATGATGTGTATATAGAGAATCTCCTACCAGTCTTTTTTGATATCAAAAAATATCAACACAAGTTGATAAAGTAACAAAAAACGAGGCTCTGCCGAGTTTTTTTTTACTTTATCAACGAGTGTTGATATTTTTTGATATCAAAAAAGACGAGTAGGAGATTTTATTTATCACCCAATCCCTTCTTACATACACAAATAGATAAATATAATTGTTTCCTGTAGATTTCACTTTTACTGAACATTACGGCGTAGTGATACATCATTTTTTGACAGCAATTCAACCATTGCAAAGTTCTTTATATTGACCCAGTGTTTCCATCAAGGTCAATTTAATAACAATAGTTCATTTTTAATAATAAAAAAGGTTACTTTTAATAAGAAATGAACTGTTCTTTGAAAATAAAAAAAAAGTAGTTCCTTTTCAACTGACCAATCAAATTCATGTAAAGCGATATCTCCTAAGGAGATATCGCAATAGATTATGAAATATATCACACAAGCGATATCTACTGTAGAATGTATTATTGGGTGATAAAGAATCTTATATAAAACAATGTAATGTGTATAGAATCTATATAAAACAATGTAATGATGTGTATAGAATCTATATAAAACAATGTAATGATGTGTATAGAATCTATATAAAACAATGTAATGATGTGTATACAATGTATATTTCTATTTTCAGGTTTTAAAATCTACTAACAGTAATAAAGATGAGTTGGCTAAACAACTGGTAAGTTTGTTGGTTTAAGCGATATTTATTATAACAATAACAGGGTGCGGTAGTAGTCATAGGTAAAGCTAATAACTGAATGCACTGAATGGTCCATGTTCCTGAAGCGATGACTGCAAGTTTTACAACATCTGGACGTTGCTTGTTTACTTCACAATTCTCGAACTTATAGCTATGTTATCTACAGACTCATGAGCAGTAGCGTCCAATCAGAGGTTGTGACATCGCGACCTCCACAAAAACCTTGACATTGAATGAACCTTGAACTTTGCAACTCGATTATCACAGGTAGACATTTTAGCTTGAAAGCGCGAGACTTGGTATTTGCGAAGATCAAGGAATCAGGCTCACAAGCTGGTCTTGTACCCAATCGGAATTAGTGCCAAAATATGCAGGGTATTACATGAAGGCCTTGATAAGATGTACGTAGTTACAGCGAGATCAAGCCTTCTATTGAAGATGTGAATGGTCAAGTGGTCTAACATGTGGATTTTAGACCATAAGGTCATTGAGTCAAGTGGTATCGTTTCGATCACAATTTGAAATGGTGCTCTTTGTGTGCTATGAGGGAAATTTTGATCCGACTGCTGCGTTTCCTTCTACTGTTCTTCAAATACCAATTGCTAAGGTGTACACAGGACCTCAGTTTTCCGTACCATCCGAACAACTGGGACATTTTTCCCTGCCAGGGTATCCAGATAGGAGAATTTAGCCCATGTTTTAACATATTCATCTTCAGTTTCTGTATTATTCGAACAACTTTACATATTCCCTCAAAACTATATCTTAAACATGCATTATGCAAGAGTTAAATCTGCCAATTGCAGGTCTTTCTTTAGGCCTGAAACGTTATCTAAATTATTATTTAGACATTAATTAACTTATCCAGACCATAATCAACTCTCAATGCTATTGGATGTCTCCGATTTTAAACAGATTTGAATCTGATCTGTTCTACAGTTGTCATGCTTAACCGTAAAAATGGATAATCTTGGTTCAGTAAGAATCCTTAGCAGTTGGCATTGGAATAGGCAGAAATGTAACTGTCCAGGCAAATTTTCCTCATAGCATACTGTGATGACATGCCCATCGTCATATACTCGATTTGTGCAAAAAAGTCGGACTTGAACCCCCATTTTATTCAATGTTATTTATTTTAGGAGGAATTACGGAAACGTGTGACAGAATTAGAAGCGCAAAGTCAAAAAGTCTCCCAGTATGAACGTGAAATAGTTCATTTAAAAGAGGTATTACAAGCCAAGGAAGATAACTCTAAACATCCTAGACCAGATGATAATACACAGGTAGGACATACAGATCACTAAAGATTTCCCCATTGACTTTAATGTTAATTCTCGTCTCTTAGACCGGCTCTAACTTTTTCCCAAACTTTCGTTGGGTAGTAAACGCTTTCTATCACAGATGGAGCAACATATCGCAACCTCTTGCCCAAAAGCACGTATGAAGTTCTTCATGAAAAACTTGAGATACACAAGCTGGAAGTAGAGACAAGTAAACATGCAATCTTTGGCCCTACATTTCAACCTAACCAACCTCTCAACTCTTGTATCCTTCCGCATCAAAATTATGAATATTCACCAAAACCTGGCAGAAAATGTATTTTCAAACCCTTTTCTTCCATTCTACACCAAAAAGTCAACAAAAATTGCCATGCAAAAGGGGGAAAAAGGAAAAGGGAGGGAAAGACTAAAAATAGCTTTGGCCCTTGTTTCGGGGGGGTTGGATGGCTGAATGGTTAGCGTGCGTGCGCTGTATCATAAAGTCTGTCATTGAGTCGACTGGCGTGGTTTCGAATCCCGGTTGTACGTGGCAAGGAGTAGGGTAGCCTGTCCAACCTCGTGGGTTTTCTCCGGGTCCTCCGGTTTCCTCCCACTGCTAAAGACCCCTACGCGCAAGCGAATTATGTAAATAAAATTAAACCATATGTTTGTCCCGAAATGACCTAGTTTGTGTCGAGTGGACGTTAAACCCCATTTCTCTCTCTCTCTCTCTGGCCCTTGTTTCGTGGGTGACGGTGTAGGAATAATTGGTGAGCTGTGTCCATATCACATAGTATTAGTCCAGATTATTCCAAAACAACATGGACTGAATTCAAATGAACAGACTTACAGTGAACAATTGTTTTTACTGAAAATATGCAGAAATTTAACAATGTCCTCCTAAATTCTTACACGGTTTTGTTTTATAATTTATTTCCCGTGTTTCAGGGACTAATTGAATCAGACGCAATGCGTAATGGTTTTAAAATCTTTACACTCTCTCTCAAATAGAAAAAAAATCTTACCATTTCAGTGTGGTTTTCCTCACTATTGACACACTTTTCTTGGTACACTACATATGCCAGAATACTAATTCATTCGGGGGGATGGATGGTCGAAGGGTTAGCACATGGCGCGTTGTATCATAAGGTCCGTCATTGAGTCAACTGGTGTGGTTTCGATTCCCCGGTTGTATCTGACAAGGAGTAGGGTCTCCTGTCCATCCTTGTGGGCTTTCTCCAGGTCCTCCTGTTTCCTCCTACTGCTAAAGACCCCTACGCGCAAGCGAATTATTGAAATAAAATTGAACTATATGTTAGTCCCGAAATGACCTAGTTTGTGTCGAGTAGCCACATGGTTCTATAAAACGATTACAATAACCAACTATGTTTATCTTGTGTTGCAGGATTTGATGCGTAAACAGTTAGCAGAGATAAAATCATTGGGGGATATATTACGTAAACAACGAGATGTATTTATTACACTGGATAATCAACACTACAATAATACCAGGTAAATATTACACTGGACAATCAACACTATAATAATATTAGGTAAATATTACATATATTACTGGATAATCAATACTACAATACTACTGAATATTACATAGTACACTGGACAATCAAAAACTACAAAAGTACCAGGTAAGTATTACATATATTACTGGATAATCAATACTACAATAGTACCAGGTAAATATTACATACATGTATATATTTTACACTGAAACTATAATACTAACAGGTAAATTTTGTTGTATGTAATTATACATTAGGAGATTGTGACGTTCAGAACGACTATAGGAAGCCAACATAATGAATCTAACATCGTTGGTTAGACACTGTACATGTAACATGGGTATCATTTACATGTAATCTGGTGTATTTAGCCCTAATTTGTTACACATTCATTCAATATCAAATCCTTGTTTAAAAATTTGTAAAAATCGGTCACTTCAGCAAGATCCAAGATGGTGATTTCACTTATTTAGCCGAATAATTCTGTCTGCTTATCATAAGGCCTGTCATTTAGTCAGCTGACATGGTTTCGAATCTGCAGTTGTATGTGACAAGGAGTAGGGTCGCCTGTCCATCCTCATGGGTTTGTTTCAGGTCCTCCGGTTTGCTCCCACTGCTAAAGAATCTACGCGCAAAAGAATTATAGAAATAAAATTGAACCATGTGTTAGTCCCGAAATGACCTAGTTTGTGTCGTGTGGACATTAAACCCCATTTCTCTCTCTCTCTCTCGTTCATCTCTGGGATTGAGATTGTCTACATTAGAAACAAATTTGTATTATGCCTTCCTTTCTGTCTCTGCCATTTTTCTCTTTGCTATATTGATTGCTAGGTTGTACGTGAAAGTGAAAAGGAGTAGGGTCGCCTGTCCAACCTTGTGGATTTACTCTGGGTCCTCCAGTTTCCTCCCACTGCTAAAGACATCTACGCACAAGCGAATAATTGAAATAAAATTGAACCATATGTTAGTCCCGAAATGACTAGTTTGTGACAGGGGAGGTTAAACCCCATTTCTCTCTCTCATTCTCTCTCTTTCTCTCTCATCTCATCTCAAAAGCAGGACCTTAAACCTCATCTCTCTCTCTCTTTGATATATTTTAAATCTTATTAACTATTGGATATACAACTTAGTATTGATTGATCTTACCTAATCACTGTATTGACACAATAGATATCAAATTAACATAAATCCCTAATCTCTTAATCTCATTAATTCCTCTACTCCACTAGTCATGTCAACTATTTGTCTGTCATCACACTCTGTACCTAACAACAATCACTCAAGCGAGGAATAACATTAGGGGATTGTATAGGGGGTGATTAAGGATTGCTACACAACACACCTGTCTGTTACCTGTGTTAATTAGATTATAGTTTATCTGCTGTGGTATCATACCTATCTTCTTACCTGTGTGTGTATCATGACTGTCTATTACCTGTATTTAGGAGATTATAGCTTATCTGGTGAGGTATCTAATATATCATATACATTCTTAATCTTATTTACCTGTAACTTAAATATACCTGTCTTTGTACCTATGTTTTTTTTTTTTACCTGTGCCTACTTCTTACCTGTATAGTATTTGATGACTGAAGGACATACTAGTAGTTGTATTAGGGTTAGTAAAAGACGATACCTGTTGAAACGTTGTGCTTATGGAATAAAAACCAGAGCTTGTTTCACATCAATATTGCGTTCTGTTAACATAAACGCTTGTTGGATTGTCAGTCCGAAACATGGTGTTTGATAAAATTAAAACACTTATCTGGATGTACTGCTTCTGAATTTTAATTACATGGATACTACTTCTCAATTTTATTAACAGGCTACTACTTCTCAATTTTATTAACATGCATCCAGATAAGTGTTTTAATTTTAGAGAAATTTATTTTTATATGTTTTATAAGGGTTATTGTGTTTGATGTGCTAAATACAGTGTTATCAGTCCGAAACATTGTGTTTGATGTCATTAGCTTATATTGTGTTACAGTTAATGAACAATTTGGTTAGTAGTATTGATGATATTGACATTATATTGATATTTATTACACCTGGGAATAGTATATAGATGTTAATCAGTAGAATATTGAACTATATTTTATATTTACTTCATATGTATAAATACATTTGATGAATCCATATTGACCAAATGGGACTAGATATGAACAGTCATTAGAACTGTAAGATACATGAGTACTAGTAGATCATGAGGATCATTCATTAGACCTGCCAGTTGATTATGAGGAACATTCATTAGACCTGTAAGATACGGGAGTACCAGTAGATTATGAGGAGCAGTCATTAGAACTGTAGAAATATTTGTACCAGTAGATGATGAGGAACATTTATAACTGTAAACCTTTCCCATATGTACCAGTATTTCTAAGTGTATTTGTTGTTGGCTAAGTGGGTAAGACTCTGGCTCGCTAGCCTGGAGGTCGCATGTTTGATCACTGCATTGGCCGAGAAAGTTCGTGATTTTCTAACGTGGATTCCCATTGTCAGTAGTGCACAGCTGTCTAGTTGTTCGGATGGGACGAAAAACCAAGGTCCCGTGTACACATTGGCGTGCATGTAAAAGATCTCTTGGTAGTTGGAATTCGATATAAGAGTAGGCCATAGTGCCGCTGCCCAGGCAAAATTTCCCTCATAGCACACTGTATGGCATATGCCTGTCTTCATTAGCCCAGTCGGAGCAAAACAGTAGGATGTTAAACCCCATTACATTTCAGTTTAGATTTATCTTACATGTATTTTAAAATGGTGTAGTGTTAAAGGTTAAAATGGTTGAGTGTTAAACTAGAGATTGTTTATTTTGTTATTTGTTGTGTATATTCAGTGGTGATAAGGTGTCAAGTATTTGTTAGATTAATATTTTATTTCAAGTATGACATGAGTATATATATAATACTGAAACAAGCCGAAGATTATATAGATCAATACATCTGTACATTATTGAGGGATTGGATGGTCAAATGGTTAGCATCAGCGCGCTGTATCATAAGGTCTGTCATTGAGTCAACTGCTGTGGTTTCCACTTTCCCGGTTGTACGTGACAAGGAGTAGGGTCACCTGTCCTACCTCGTGGGTTCTCCGGTTTCCTCCCACTGCTAAAAACGCCTACGCGCAAGCGAATTGTTGAAATAAAATTGAACCATATTATGTTAGTCCCGAAATGACCTAGTTTGTGTTGAGTGGACTAGAGATAAGTGTTTTATTACGTTGTTTATTTCAGTGATGGATTGTTGCATGTTGGACTAGAGAGAATTGACTTGTTACTAGTGTTGAAAATCGGATCGAGATTTGTGATCCAAATACTTTACTTTGCTATCCGAATACTATTCGTCGCTCGGATAATTCGGAAACGTGAAATTCTTGAACAAAATCACATCAAAAGTTCATATACTCATAATTTCTTACTTATTTCAATGTTTATGAGTGTCTGTGTATGCTGAGTATGAAATTTTACTTTCGATTTGCAAATTGTTTGAGCCGCGAAGAAAAAAACGTGCCTACCTTTAGCCGCAATTATTAAGACTATCCATGATATCCAAAAAAATCAAAGAGGTGATTAAATTTGTGTATAACTACTCCTGTAATCCCCCCCCCCCACACACTTATCATTTTTGTTCAATCAACACGAATGAAAAAAGTAAAATAAAAACATCTAACATTTATTCCGCCAAGGTCGTTTGAACCAATCAGTAAGTGAGAATATATGTGACCTAGGTCGTTATGAATAAATTACATTGCTGGAAGTCTAACCACAGGTTAACTTGTATCCCGTAAACCCACGAAGTAGTTTCTATCTAGTGTAAACCAGCGCGAGGAATGAATGAATATTTTTTTATTTAGACTACTGTTTTCGTTGCACTGCATTAATATTTTTATTAGTTACTACCGCTAAATAAATACGCGTGATATTAACATTTATGCTTAAAGCTGCGTACGTGATCAATAGCATTGGGGAAAATTTCAAAGTAATCAGATGTAAATATGGCTAAATATAGAGCATAGGGAATGTCAGAATATATTGTAACGAGTAGTAAACGGATAGTAAAATGATTCGGATAACCCTTATTTTGTATCCGTTAACAGATATCCGAATAGTAGTTTCAACACTACTTGTTACGTTATATGTTTTGTTGTTTATTTCAGTGATGGAGAATTACGTGTAGAACTAGAGAGAATTGAGTCGTTACGTCGTTTATTAGAGGAAGGTGTAGAGAAGAACAATACTCTACGTATTATACTCGAACAACAAACACAGACGAAAGAACCATATATAGACACAGGTAAATAGTCTACTTATTGTACTTGAACAACAACCATATATAGACACAGGTAAATAGTCTACATATTATACTCAAACAACAAACACAGACGGTACAACCATATATCGTCACAGGTAAATAGTCTACATACTTGAACAACAAACACAGTCGATACAACTATATATAGACACGAGTAAATAATCCTTGTCAGCCGTGTGGGACGGAGGGCCTGTCAGCAGTGTGGGGTGGAGGGCCTGTCAGCCGTGTGGGGCAGAGGGCCTGTCAGCAGTGTGGGGTGGAGGGCCTGACAAGGACAAGTGTCTGATCATTCAGACAGGACAAAAAACTGACGTCCTATGTCTGTCATTGGCCGGTCCCATCACTATTAGGCAAAATTTAACTCGTACTTCATAGCATATTTCCGTCGTTATTAAAAGGGGTTGGTACAAGAAAATAGAACATTAAACCTCATTTCATTTGTAAATCACCTACACTATTGTCTGTTCTATTTCAGATGAGCAGAAATTAAACAAGTCTGTCAACACCAGTCAATTTGATGAAAACCACCTCCACGATAATCCCAAGATATCATCAGTGGATGTCAATACTTCTCCTATTAAAGTCTCGCGTGCACAAATAGCCACGCAGACGGACATCACTGCCACAGCTGAGGCTGGCTTGAACAAAAGTGTGCGGAAATCGGTGGAGTTTGACGAGTCTATTAGTAAATTTGTTGAAAGAGATTCTGATTTTTCGTTCAATTTGTTGCCAAAATCTCATCTCGATTCAGTTGATAACGTGTCAAGTGTTGGTCACGATAATAAACTGATTGATTTTACGGACGCACCATCGGAACTTCTTAATCTCCAGAATCACTGCTTTTCTCGTATTTCTGGTTTCCGTGGTGATACGCGAGCTGCAGGCTGTGACAATTATTATTCCACTGACGGATCGTTAGGAGTCGGCAATGAGTCATCGAATTTGAATCCTCAGGAAACTGTTTTAAGCAGTAACAAAATACATAAACCACTTCACTCTCCTCCCGAGCTGCTGCGTCACCTCGTTCAATCGTCTCAATCATCAGACGGTAAACTTCACTCCAATTCGTTAATATCGTCACCAAGACTTTTACAAAATACAGACAATAGTCGCGATATTCACAGCTTGCCTTCTTATGCGAATCGTACATCAAGTGAAGGACATCGTTACAGTTCGTATCAACCATCATCGCATCTTCTACGTGATAATTCTCGCAACAGTGCGCAAACGGCCCATGCCCAGTCGATAACAAATATCGAATCAACAAAAGATAAAACAGATCCTCAGATCACGGGAATAAACTCTCATCTTCCGTTTAAGTCTTTCAGTGATCACCATGGCGATAATGTAGAGGCAGACGACGTGGATGTTGATAGATTGTCGGTCGATCAAAGTGTTTTATTGAGTGAGGATATTTCCAACATGTCCGCGCCGTCGCTACGTAAATTAGTGTCTAAACTACAGAATGATCTGATGGACTCCTTACAAGAAAACCACAATTTGCAAGGTCAGGTTCACAACAGTTTTGGCAGTCGTCAAATCCCCGGTAAAAATGAGACCGATCCAACGACGGCAGATTTACGCGTCCTGCAACAGAAGCTCGACAATTTGCAACTCACTCTAGCGAAAACCCAACATGAGAATGAAACCTTACACCAACACCTGCAGTCTCCAAATAAAAACAGCGATAACCAAATCGCCGAGTTGAAACAAAAACTGAGAGAAGTGGAAAACAGGAATAATTTATTGAAGAAGCAGATTGAATTGAATTCGCAAACGAGTAGTTCACCTACTGGTTTTAACCCTGAACTTATTCTAGAAATGGCCACCGAAATCGAAAAATTAAAGAAAGCTGCTGCAGAGAAAAACAACCAGGCTTCAGATTCAGAATCCTCGGAAAATGGTGGAAGTGGGTGTCTGGCAAAAGATGGAACGGCGAGTCCTGATAGAACAACCAATGGTAGACGATCTCTTAATTTGGATAAAGATCCAGTGAAATATCCAGATACGAATAGTACGGAACTTCAAGGAAACGGTGATCAACTTTGTTTAAATTCTACAGGAAACTTATCTGTTGCTGATTCCCTAGCGTCTAAACCAGTAGTGAGTGCGACGAGCCATATTCCCAGGTTAAGACGGGCAGCTGATTCAAACCCAAAGCCCAAGTCCACCCCGGTAGTTTCTTGTCTTACTGGAGAAAATCGCCCAGCACTGTTAGAGAGTTTGTTACAAGCCGCACGTACCCAGATTTCTCAATTAGAAGAAAAGTTAGCGGCAACAGAAAACACAGTTCGCTTCCAGAGTTCCAAGATGAAATATTATCGTAATCTAGCCAGCGATGCTGGATTGATACCAAAATTATCGTCACGATCGCAAAGTGAAACAAACCTGTTCGTAGCCTCAACCACAAAACCACGTAACAATCTAATGGCCCCCACTGGTTCATATGAAAACTTGTCAAATTTCAATGAAAACGGCACAAGTTCTATTTCGTCTGAGGAATCACAAAAATACGGAAAGACGGAAAATGTGACGGCACTGAAAACACAGATCGATGAACTTATAAATAAATTACAACGTCAGACTTTAGAAATCAATCAACTCCGCACCAAATCCTTTGATCGCACTTGTCGTTCGATTTCCCCGCCAAATGTGTCCCCCAGAATCAAAGAATTAAAGAATCAGTTACGTGAAAATGTCTCGTCCCCAGTCTCGAGTAAATCCTTCATTCAAACTATCCAAAGATCGGCGTCAGAGGAATCGCAGACTATTCCAGAGCAGGATTATATCCAGAATCTGAAGATCCGTTTCCCCGATAACGAACATGTTCGAAACAGCGTAGACAGAAATTACAAACGAAGCCCCTCTCTCGAAAAATCGTATTTAGGCCTGGGTAGAAATTATTCGTCTAAAAGTCGGTCTCAAAGTGATTTGAATAATATCGACAATCCACAGGCTTTCCAGAAATTATTAGAGCGTAACCAACAATTAGAATCGGAACTCGCAGAAGTCAAAAACGATAGTTCTATCCTAGCTGCCCGATTGGTGGAATTAGGACAAATGAACCCTGCCGGTCCGAAGCAGGTTGAAAATTTGACCCAAAAAGTGCGCGATTTAGAAAAGGAGAAAGAGACTTTAGCAGAAAATCTACGAAAATCCTCGGAGAAGGTGGAAGATTTGGAGAGTAAAGTGAAATCGTATCGGAACGATAAACAAATGTTGGAAGGCGATGTGAGAAAGCTGGAACAAAAACTCAAGTGGATGGAACGCGAGCAAACATCAGTCGGCGCGGACAGAGAATTGTGGGAAGTACAACAACAATTATACGATAGCCAGAATACGTGTCTTCAACTTCGTAACCAATTGGAAGAAATCAGTTGTTTTATGTCTGAATTAATTAACCATGATCGTGGCCAATCAGAAGATAGTAGTAGTGTGGGTGTGGCTAATATCGACAGGTTAAAACAACATATACAGAGTAGTAGAGAAGTGATCAACGCCAGTATGTCCGACAGTACGTAATTTATTTTTTTATTCTCATAGAAATTGTTTTAATGGCTTTAAGTAATTTGACTGGAAACCCACAGGACACTGTTCTTTCAAAGGAATACAACCTGGACTCTTTGGTGTTATTTAGTTAGAGAGAGGGAGATTGAGTTTAACGTCCACTCGACACAAACTAGGTCATTCGGGACTAACATATGGTTCAATTTTATTTCAATAATTCACTTGCACATAGGGGTCTTTATCAGTGGGAGGAAACCGGAGGACCCGGAGAAAACCCACAAGGTTGGACAGGCGTTAAACCCCATTTCTCTCTCTCTATTCCAGCAAAGAAGAGTTGTGTTGGACAGAATCTGTTACTGTAACCAGAATTGATATTGAAACTTTTTGGAATTTTTTCATTATTAGATTAAATGCTTAATGTTGATGTGTGTAATATGCATTGAATATATTTTCTTGTTATAATTTTAGTTTCAAGAATAGAAGAAAAGAGTCGATTGGATGCCAGTGATCATGTGACAGGAAGTAAATATCAGAGTGCCGTTGATGAAATAAATAAATTACAATCACAGTTAAACTTACAGGAAAACAGGTATACATGTATATATATACATATAGACTGACATAAGCCATGTTAACCCTTTAAAGACTTGGTAATATGTAAATATTGAGTACCCCAGTTCCTTGAAGAAAAGTTATATATTAATACATCCCTGAACGGACGAAATAGTCTGAAAATGTTGTTCCTTAGACCATCTCAAACTGCCTGAGATAGGTGAATAGCTTTCTGTATGATAGGACCAATTACTAGTTTGTGCGAGCGCAACAACTGTGAATGTTAAATGGCAGGCTAAGTGCAAAAGGGTTAATATGGCTATCAGTTTATTGAAAACAACTCGCAATTTCAATGCCTGTTTCTGGTTATTTGCTTCTTGCACTAGCTAGTAAACCACCTAAGCCACTAGTTAGTAAACCCACCAGAGACACTAGTTAGTAAACCCACCAGAGCCACTAGTTAGTAAACCCACCAGAGACACTAGTTAGTAAACCCACCAGAGACACTAGTTAGTAAACCCACCAGACACACTAGTTAGTAAACCCACCAGAGACACTAGCTAGTAAACCCACCAAAGTCAATAGCTAGTAAACCCACCAGAGACACTAGCTAGTAAACCCACCAGAGTCAATAGCTAGTAAACCCACCAGAGTCAATAGCTAGTAAACCCACCAGAGACACTAGTTAGTCAACCACCAATGAGTAATGTATTGACTCACTAACCTTGAGGTCCTGGGTTTAATTCTAGTTTGCTCCCGATGTTAGTATCCTCAGGACCTTACAGCCCAGTTTCCCTTTGTCAGAGGTTTGTGACGAAGAACAGGACAAGGATAAGTGGCTAGTCGTTCATTTAATTAGGAATTAATTGGATAGTAGGACATTGAAACCCTTTTCATTAGTAAAACAGTTGAATCTTATAAAATCTTCAAATTCATGGTAACCAAGCACAGATAATTGATGTTTTTGACGAGAGCAAAAGTGGTACTTAGAATTGGTTACATTGTTATAAGATCAGTTATTAACATTATTTCCCGTTCACAGGAGCCGAGAGAAACTGGCAGAAAAAGAGGCTGAATTGAAGAGGTTACGAGAAGAATTGTCGTCCGCATTTCAACATGGAATCCCGGAAGGTTGTGATAGTGAGGCTCCGTCGCCACAACGCTCCGTGGGATCAGCTGATGGGCAGCCGGTCTCTCACGATTCAGGTTTGTCTCTTGTTTTCTACTCCTGTTTTGAAACGCGGTCGTACGCTGGCATCGTCTCAGTCCTCGGTTAAAGTTATCATCACATTGTCTTGAAATTTATAAAAAGTGTTAATAAGAGGAAGAATCCTATTGATTCCTATAATTTCCAATAATTAATTGCACAGGATCACTTGGAAACGTTTGGACTCTCTTAAAGCTGAATTGTCTGATTGTCAAAAGCATATGCTTTAAATCATAATGTCTGTCATTGAGTTAAGTGGTGTACCCCACTTGTACTCAACAAGGATAGGGTCGCCTGTCCAACCTTGTGGGATTTCTCCAGGTCCTCCCGATTCCTCCCATGGCTAAAAACCTCTACGCACATGCACATTTTCGAAATAAAATTGTATCATGTTAGTCCCAAAATGACCTAGTTCGTGTCAAGTGGACGTTAAACCCCATTTCACACTCTCTCTCTCTCAATAGACATAGTAGGCCATTGGCCTATGGCATACAAATATCTGGATCCCAACTGAAACTAATTTGTTATAACTATGTTTCACGGGTACACAGATGAGTTTGGCCTAGTACGTTAGTAGGTCATTCAGACGCTGATCTTTTTTGTGGTTATGTGTGTCTGCCCACTCTTGTTGCTCGTGGATCTATGTTCTATTTCCTGACCAATTCTGATGTTTATTTCCAGGTTCTAAATCTAGAAAATCTTTAACTTCTACAGACGGCAACAAGGTGAGATCTACTGTCCAACAAAGCGACGAAGACGAATTCTCTGTCGAACAGATCCGACGTCGCATAGCCAGTGGACGAACAGATACACGATCAGGAAGCTCGATGACAGATGTAACCGAAGTGATGTCAGAACGAGAAAATCTGTCACAAACTTCTCGGCTCAACTTACAGAGAATGTTTCACAGTATGCCGCCAAATGCCCCCGAAAATACTTCCATCCCCGGGGATGCTCCGAATCACCGAAACGTTTCTTACAGAGACCCGAACTTATCAGCTCTATATTTATCGAAAATGAACGAAAGTGATTTCTTGTTGAGTGACAGTCATTTCTGTAACCAGAGTAACGGAAGTATGTTCGGTGGACGATTGGGCGATGGACTAGATCGTGTCGATAGTTCCGAAACAAGGAGTAAATCTTCGGACACACTCAGTCAGGTGTCAAGCTACAAGGAAAGAAGTCGTACCCCATCTGGATCATCGGAAGTACAGATCATGAAAGCTCGTTTAATTGTTGCAGAGGACAAAAATAAAACATTACAAGAAGAACTCAAAGTGTACGAGAATTTAGTGAAAAATGCTGGCACGCAAAGTTCGCCGAATACCCGATCTGGTCGAGGACAAGGTGATAATTTACACGACCATCTGATGGAGATACGAGCCTTGCGACTTCGTCTGGAGAAATCTCTTGATGAAAGTGAAAGATTGAGACTTCAACTTGAAGAACGTCTTCGTGAATCACAAACAGGTAAAAGAAAATATCAAATTTTTGTTTGGTCGATCTAATACAGGGATTCGCAACCTGTTTCCAACCTTGTGGGTTTTCTCTGGGTCCTCCGGTTTCCTCCCACTGCTAAAGACCCCTATGCGCAAGCGAATTATTGAAATAAAATTAAACCATATGTTAGTCCCGAAATGACCTAGTTTGTGTCGAGTGGACATTAAACCCCATTTCTCTCTCTCTCTCTCTTTCTCTCTCTCTATCTATTTATGAGACAAAACTACCGACATTATTTATGTATGTTATTGTTGTTGATATGCAGGACGGAGGGCCTGACAAGGACAGCTGTCTAGTTGTTCGGATGGGATGAGAAACCGAGGTCCCGTGTACATATTGGCTTGCACGTAAAAGATCCCTTGACAGTTGGAATTCGATATAAAGAGTAGACCGCAGTGCACACTGTATGGCGTATGCCCGTCTTCATTAACCCAGTTCGGAGCAGAACAGTAGGACGTTAAACCCCATTTTATTTTTATTTGTTGTTGATGTTTCATTACAGCCAATAATGATCAAATCAATTATGAGAAGAAAGTACAGGAACTGACAAATCTTGTCTCCAATCTACGAAATCAGCTGGAAGGCAGAGAAAAACATGTTGTTGAGAAACTCACCATCATTGAAGAGCAAGAGAAGATAATCCACAATTCAAAAATACTTCTTGAAAAACAGAACCATCGCATGAACGAAAGTGATAAACGCTGCCAAGAAATGGAGAAGCACAAACAGAAAATGGAGGAGAAATGTCAAAAGGTGGAAGAAAGCTGTCGGAAATTGGAAGAGAGCCGTCAACACATGGAGATAAATTTCCGAAAACATCAAGAGCGTAAGGAACGACAAGAATTACAACTCCGTAAGGCTGGAAAAGAGATACGCAAGTATGTAATTTAGTGAATTCTATTGGTCAAAAGGGACGTTAGATGGCCGAATGGTTAGCATGTGTGCGTTGTATCATAAGGTCTGTCATTGAGTCAACTGGCGTGGTTTCAATTCCCCAGTTGTACGTGACAAGGAGTAGGGTCGTCTGTCCAACCCAGTGGGTTTTCTCCGGGTTCTCCGGTTTCCTCCGACTGCTAAAGACCCTACGGCTACGCTCAATCAAATTATTGAAATAAAATTGTACCCCATATGTTAGTTCCGAAATGGCCTAGTTTGTGTCGAGTGGACGTTAGGTATAGTTATTGGTATAATATATTTTTTTGTTTTAGGTTACAACAAGAAATTTTATTGTGGAAAGAAAAAGCTGAAGAAAAAACGGAACTAAATAAAACGTTAAAATTAGAATTATCAATGTACGAAAGGTTACAAGCTAATAAAGAAAGTAAGTGTTAAAATAATATTCTGGCCCGAGTTCACGATGCTGTGATAGGTTGGTAATTATGGAGGCCTGTACGGGTAATAAATATATGAGCGATTAGTAACTTAAATTGGTTATTTAAAATGAAGTTACATATAACTCCCACTAATTTTTGTTCCCCCACCCCACATTCTCTCTCTCCATCCATCACATTATGTTTTTTCCGTTACAGATTCCAGCCAGTCAAATCTAGATATAACTGATCTATTAACGGAGATACAGCACTTACGAGTTCAGTTGGAGAAATGTATTGATACTAATAATAGATTACGGCAGACTGTCGAAGATCTGCTACATCAACAGATGAAACAGTCGACCAGTCCTAGACTTGATGCTGGAACAACCAGTCCTAGACTTGATGCTAGTTTAACCAGTCATTCATCATCAGTTGGTTTGTATATTTCTATTAATTTCAATAAATCGAGACTTTTCTTCCTAATCCAAATTTTTTTTCCCAGAAGCCAGATTGAATTTACTTCTTGTTAATTCTCACTGATTTTTTCTTCTTCATATTTCAGCTTCGGAAGCTGCTGATGGTCGACCAAGTCCTCGAAACTCTCCGCGTAAATCTGACAGCCGTGAAACCGTTGAGAAGGAGACGTATATTCATCGTAAAATACGGGAGGAGAAGTATGAGTACGATGTTAACGGTGTTAGAACAACGGGAGATTATAATAGATATAGAAGTGAGGACAGATATACATCTGATAAAATACGATCTGATACGCTTCCAGACACAATTTATAAAATAGGTAATTATAAAATAGATATACTTCCAGACACAATTTATAAAATAGGTAATTATAAAATAGATATACGTCCAGACACAATTTATAAAATAGGTAATTATAAAATGGATTCTCTTCCAGATACAATTTATAAAATAGATCATTAGTAATTTATAACAATCCCCATGGTTTCTAGTGGGCCTTATCAAGTTTCACCACAAAGGAATTGTCACAAAATGAGCCTTAAATCTGGCAGAGAGTTGAAATCCTAGTACAAATTCTAGCTTTTAGCAAGTATTCTGCAGGCCCCAGGTTGAGAAAGCATTCTTAGACTTAAGTTAAGAATTTACTCAACTTTTGGTCACTGTTTATGAGAAATATCTTTGATCCAAAAACCCAAAAATTTGCACATAGTTTCTTATTGATGTATTTGATACATTAACACAACAAAATTTTATAAAGGGCTATATTTTAGTTAAAATAAGGTGAAACCAGGGCCATGTTTGAGAAAGATCCTGATGATTTTCCAGTATGGTTTCCCCCTTGTCAGTGTTGCAGGATGGAGAGCCTTGCGAGGAAAAGTGTATAGTTGTTTGGATAAGATGAAAAGCTTAGAGCCTGTGTTCACTTAAAAGAATTCTTTAAAGTATAGGGCTGACCTTAAAAATATCTTTGTTTCACCAAACCCGACCCACAATCGAGGAGAAGGGTCGGTAGGTCGGTTTTTTTTCATATTTTTTTTTTAAAGTTAGAGAAATCAATACAGAAGACTTATTAGCTGTATACTACAGATTCATTAATTTTGTTTAATGAATTTGGGGTCTGACGTAAAAAGTAACGAACTGAAAGTCTTTTTATTAAACTTAAGAGCTAATTTGACAGCTTAATAATTTTCCGGGTGGAAACATTCGTCTTCTTTATTCAATTGGCAAAAAAATCAATGACATCGGGAATTTTTCGTGATGCCCGACTCGCACACGATTTGCCACGAACTTGAAGTGTGAAATTCCTTCAACAGGTTTTTAACGATAGTGCGGGTTGTGCCTTCATTTTTCTCGAAAACGGATATTGAAAATATCGTCGTTATGTTTAAAACTACGCACCACAGACATAGAAGCAGAATCATTTCGTGGGAATGGATGTGTATTCGTCTGCAACCATTTTGTTGAGAAGCGACACCTATGACGCTTTCGTCTTGATCAACCAGTTTCAATAATGAATCAAACCATAGCCATAGTAAAGGGAAATAACTCTTGTGATATATTTCAGGTTGACACACAAAATAAAATAAAAAGATCGTGGAAAAGTGCAATAAAATAATTTAAGTCGGGGGTGGTTTTAGTTAGTCAGTCGCGTTAGGCGAAACAAAGATATTTTTAAGGTCAGCCTAGTCTGTATCACCGCTGTCTGAGCAAAATGCCCGTCTTCATTAGCCCAGTCAGAGCTGAACCGTAGGACGTTGAACCTCATTTCATTTTAAAAAAAATTTCTCCATTTATTTATTGATTTTGTTTACATTAGGATCTGCCAATCAAACTACACGGAATTATTCAGGGGAAGATAAATCTAGATATAGTACTTCAGTACCACATCGCTGTCCGAACCCCAACATCAGTATACATTCTCTACCGCCTGATTTAGATAAATATTTCGATAAAGAGAGTTCCGTTAAATACTGGGTGGACACGTCTGCTTATAAAGGTTTACATCGTTACTATATTTGGCATGGTGTTATTATGAAAGAATGCCAAATTTGGAATGATTAACACTTAGTATGAGTAAAAAAAAATATTGATTAAAAAAGTTCTCGTTTGTTTCACACAATGCATGAATTTCAAGCATGGAGTTGTTATTTTATCTTTTGGAGTTATGACCCTTGATCATTTGGCTGACTAGAAATTGACCTATTAAAGAAAGAAGCCTGTTGTGTTACCGATAATTGCTATTGTAGTTACAGCTCTAATTTAAAGTAGCTAAATCTCTAACTCAATATCATCCAAAGTCTGGAATAACCAGATGCTTGAGATTGCCATTCGATTGAGACTTCTGGGGCATTTCGCCGAACAGAAATTAGAGTAAAAACAGAAACGATTGAATGTCAAGTCCAACCTTGTGGGTTTTCTCCAGGTCCTCCGGTTTCCTCCCACTGCTAAAGACAAAGACCCCTATGTGCAAGCAAATTATTGAAATAAAATAGAACTATATGTTAGTCCCAAAATGACCTAGTTTGTGTCGAGTGAACCTTAAATCCCATTTATTTATCTCTCTTTTGAATGTTCAGATGGGACAAAAAAACAACAAACAACTGAGGTCCTGTGTAAACATTGACGTGCACGTAAAAGTTCCCTTGCCTGTTAGATTACGAGTTGGCTGAAGCACTGCAAATTTCCCTCATAGCACACTGGAGACGAAAAACTGAGGTCCTGTGTAAACATTGGAATGCACGTAAAAGATCCCTTGGCAGTTGGAATTTGATATAAGAGTAGGCAAAATTTCCCTCATAGCACACTGTATGGCGTATGTCCGTCTTCACTAGCCCAGTATTGGAGCAGAACAATAGGACGTTAAACCCCATTTCATTTATCTCATATCACACTGCATGACGTATGCCTGTCTTCATTAGCTCGATTGGTGCAGAAAAGTAGGAGGTTAAACTAGAAATTGTTTTGTTTACAGAACTAATCCTGTTTATTTTCATGTATTGTTAATTAATACTAAACTTTCACTCTTTTCTATCCTTGATGGGAGCCACTGTGGCTAAGTGGGTAAGACGTTGGCTCACTAGCTTCGAGGTAGAGTGTTCGATACCTGCATTGGCCGAGAACGTTCATCGGGATTTTGCGACGTGGTTTCCCATTGTCAGTGGTGCAGGATGAAATGAAAAACCGAGGTCCTGTGTATACATTGGCATGCACGTAAAAGATCTCTTGGCAGTTGGAATTTGATATGAGTAGGCCATAGTGCCACTGCCCGGGTAAAATTTCCCTCATAGCACACTGTATGGCATATGCCCGTCTTCATTAGGCCAGTCGGAGCCAAACACTAGGACGTTAAACGGGACCTCAGTTTTCCGACCCATCTTAATGGCTAGACAGCTGTCCTTGTCAGGTCCTCCATTCTGCATCACTGACAAGGGGGAACTGCACCTGAAAATCTTGATGAACTTTCTCGGCCAATGCAGGGATCGAACACCCGACCTAGGCCAGCGAGCCAGTGCCTAACCCACTTAGCCACCGTGCCCCCCACCCACCCAATTATATTTGGAATGTGTTTAACCAGTTCTATCACATGTGATAATGATTGACACCAATATTGCCCCTTTAATGAGAATGTATGATTTAATGACCTCTTTCTATTGTAAATTTTCTTGATCAAAATAAAACCTACATTTTTTTCACAAATAATACTTTAAATACATTCTTTCATTTTATAATTTTTCAGAAGTTCCACGTGTAGATATTGACTCTGATATTCGTAGATTATTTGCGATCGGTAAATTGGATGATTTTGAGAAGGTCCGTAAAGAAAATGAAGAAGTGTTATCGGTCCTTCACGGATTACAGGCTCGAGTCGATGATAGAATACATTGTATGAAAAAGTCTTCAGAACAGGTTGGTACATGTCATCATGGCAGAATCGGGTCTAGGGAGGCCCGGGTGTTGTACGTGACAAGGAGTAAGGTCACCAGTCCAACTTAGTGGGTTTTCTCCGATATCCTCCCACTGCTAAAGCCCTACGTGCAAACGAATTATTGAAATAAAATTGAACCATATGTTAGTCCCAAAATGACCTGGTTTATGTCGAATGGACATTAAACCCCCCCTCTCTCTCTCTCTCTCTCAATACAATCAGACTTTCAGAAGTATTGGTTGACAACACACCAGAGAACTCAAGAAAATCTGAATCCTATTCTCCATGTTTGACTATTTCATGATTTCAATTACAAACCATCAGTAAAAATTTGTATAGAATTATACAAAAACTATCTTTCAAAAAATATAAAATAATTAAACTCCACCCCATCTTTTCACGAAGCGTAATATGATTTGTTTAAAGTGTTGTATATTTGTTTAAAGGATAATGTATTTATTTTTTATTTATAACAGCTTTATAAGGTATTGTATATATAAAATATAACCTGGTTATTGGTTCCTTCCTTCCTTATTTATCATCTATATATGAATGTAGTTTAATTGAGAATGGTGTATGTACATCATAGCATGGTAACACCCCAACATGACCGACCATGACCTAATAGATGCTGTATATACACAGTAGCATGGTAACACCCCAACAATACCGGTACTGGTCCTAACATTGGTAGATACTGTATGTACATCATAGCATGGTAACAACTCAACATGACCGACCATGACCTAATAGATACTGTATGTACATTATAGCATGGTAACACCATAACATGACTGACCATGCATATTTGCTGCATGTGCATTAGTATGGTATAACCCACCACAAGACCGGCCCTTCATATATACTGCATGTCCAAACGTATGATAATGCCCCCACAAGACCTGCCCTTATTTAATAGATACTGTATGTATATCATAGCATGGTGTAACACCTCCACAAGACCTGTCCTGATTTCAGTAGCATGATAATACCTCAACAATATACATATTCAACATGCTTGTATAAAATATATATAGATAGAACTATCGCTCGTGGAATACTTGCACAGGGATACACTCTCTTGAACCATTGAATAACCCGAGCAGTATTCAATGGTCATTGAGTTCTGTTTTTATTCTATAACTACATGTAAATCTGAAAATAGACTGTACTATCCAGATTATCAAAAACAAAATCACCAATAACATTAAAATTCATCATAGGTTCCGCCCTTTTTTCTTGTTTTACTAAAATTGTGGTTGCTAGTGTTGATGTAATTCTGAAAGTGATGTCATTCTGGACAAAAGTAGTATATCCAAAGCCATTGAATACAACCATAGGTTATTCAATGGCTGTATTCAATGATATTTCCTTGTATTTGCATGTAGTTATAGAATAAAATTATTTATTAACATGATAAACTTTTTATATTAGCTACTATACTCATGATATACATATTAAACAGGCTGCACTGTAATCTGGGTATCATTTAATCTTGTGTATTTAGCACTAATTTCTTTCACATTCATTCAATATCAAATCTTTGTTTCAAAAAACGTAAAGATCATTTAAAATCACCAAAAATCATCCAATTTGTGTCCAGTTTAAAGCTTACCATTTAATTTTGATAATAAGTGTCCAATTTACAAGTGTTTAATTTCTCGATTACTGTTTAAAAAAATAAACAACCCAATTGATTGATGTATAATGATTAATTTTTAAACAGTGGTCAGAAAATTAAATACTTGTAAATTGGACACTCATTATCAAAATTATCAGTTAGCGTCTCACTGGACACAAGTACAAATTAGATGATTTTTGTTGATTTTAAATGATTTTTATGAATTTTTAAACAAAGATTTGATATTAAGTGAAGCAAAAGAAATTAGTGCCTGATACACAAATTAAATGATACCCGGGTTAAAGTGCTAAAATACAAATTTATAATATTTCTTATATATACTGGTGACTGTAGATATATAATATAGCATGATAATTTAGAATGGGCTAACTAACATTAGTATACTGGAATAAATTGAATTAGCATTTTTGTCTTGGTAGAGTTATAGAAATACTGTTAGAGAATCATAATCGAGACCTTGTTGCAACTTGTTTATTTGTCTATAAAATTATAGAACTACCGGTAATTAAATGTTATGTACTGGTAGCTTCATTCTACGGTTACTACTATCGGGGTGGTGGTGGGGGGGCCCGAATGGTTAGCACATGCCTGCTGTATCATAAGGTCTGTCATTGAGTCAGATGGCGTGGTTTTGATTCCCCGGTTGTACTAGACAAGGAGTAGAGTAGCCGAAGCCTGTCCAACCTCGTGGGTTTTCTTTGATTTCCACCTCCGCCCCCCCCCCCCCCCCACCAACGCTAAAGACCCCTAGGTGCAAGTGATTTATTGAAATAAAGTTGAACCATGTGCTGGTCGTGAAATGACCTAGTTTGTGTCGTGTGGACGTTAAACCCCATTTGTCTCTCTCTCTCTCTCTCTCCCTACTACTATCTTTATATTTATGTTGGCTCTCCCCAGCCAACAGCAGCTCGATGCAGTGTCAATAATTATTTTATATATTGTTAATATATGTATGTAGACATAAAATGTTAGGTCTGACTTCGATATCTGTATTTTTTTGGTTAGTGTTCAGTATAGTACATAATCACAATCTGATTAAAATACAGATCTATATTTTATTCTGTTTATTTATACTTTCCATGGCCTCTACTACATGAAGATCTGACCAGTTGTAGTGGAAGGTCGCGTCAGAGGTCATGCCAGCGACTTTGGACCCTTTGACGTAAGAAATTTGATTAACCAATCAGCAGTAATGTTTCTAGTGGGTTACCCACAGTTTGGGCACCTCACGCCAAATAACTCGCCATAACAGACCATTTCATTGACTAATCCCTCACATCGTCCAGAACGTGGGTTATATAACAACTCGTTCAGATCCTAATGTAGTAAAGACAAGAAAAACGAAATTTTGAACTATAAAATAAAAACGAAACGAAATAGGATCTGTGTTTAAATCAGATTGATTATAATCAATGATAAATTGTTTATATTTTTATGGGTTGTTTTTTTTTTTTTAGAGTGTTGAATACAGTACATTAAAGGAGATATCTCTAGCTATAGAGAATTTAAAGATATGTATGAATGCTGAGAAGAATGTCATAGAAAGATTCTGGGTATCCCAGCTTCCACCAGTTAATGAGCTTGGGGAATTTTACGATGCCAAGCTCGCAGAGGACGTAAGTTTTAATTGAATGCTTTTCAGAACTAAAACCTGAAATGTTCATGGTTCTGGGAACTTATTCAAGAAAACTTTTTTTAAGAATGCAGACTTTCCATGTGGCAAGAGCTAAAATTTGTACTTAGATTTTTGCCCGCAACCAATTAAAAGGCTGTATTCTTAAAATCAAATATTCTAGTTTTAAGTTCTCTTGAATAAATCTCCAGACACCGATTTTGTACTAATTTATTAAAGAAATTGTTAAGCAGATGTGCATGAGCTTCCCAGTAGCATAAGAAGTGGTATCAGATGTTCTAGACAATATACCCCGTCTTGTGCTGCTACCCCTGGGAGACATACCCTGCCTTGTGTGGCTACCCCCGTCTTGTGCTGCTACCCCTGTCTTGTGCGACTACCCCTGCCGCTCCTGGACAAGTCGCAAAACAAAGAAGGGTGGGGTTTTTTTTGTGTGGCTTTTTGAATTGTGTATTTTTTGATTATTTAGATTTTAGTGTCTCAATCCCTTTATATTTTGCTATGTGGCCTAGTAGTTAAGGCGCTGGCTTATCATCCAGAAGGTTCCAGTTGCGATTGCGGTGTTAACCTGATAAGGTACCTCAGGATTTTCAACTTTGTTTCCCATTGTTAGGGATGCAAGATGAAGGGAAACAGGATCTACGAAAAAACAAGGTTCGATATAAATGTTGGTGTGTACATTAAAGACCCCATGACAGTGGGAATTTGATGTACAATAAGAGGATATATATGCCCTTGGATAAAATTCGCTCGGATTCACAGCCCACCGTATGGCATATGTACCTGTCTTCGTTAGCCCAGTCAGTGCAGAAAAGAAGGACGTTCAAACCCATTTCATTTATATATTTTGCTATTTTTCCAGAATCGATCATTACGTAAAGAATTAACCCGGTTAAAATCGGAACATGATATAATGCGTCACTCGGCTCGTGCTGCTGAACAACGTTTACATCTAACTATACAACAACAACAAGGAATGGAGAGCGCTATCTGTCAACAACGTAAGATATTCTATTTTATTATTTATATTTTAAAGTGGCAGATCGTCATTTGAGAGATTGGGCAAATGAGAGACATAGACTTTAACTCCACTCAACACAAACTAGGTCATTTCGTGACTAACATGGTTCAATTTTATTTCAATAATTCGCTTGCGCGTATGGGTCTTTAGCAGTTATGAGGAAACCGGAGGACCCGGAGAAAACCCACGATGTTGGACAGGCGACCCTTCTCCTTTTCATGTACAAGCGGGGAATCGAAAATAAAATTTTATTGAAATAAAATTGAACCATGTGTTAGTCCTGAAATGACATAGTTTATGTTGAGTGGACGTTAAACCCCATTTCTCTCTCTATCAGTAAATATTAAAATTATTGGTTATTGCTGTTGTTGTGGAGACCAATTGTAGTAACATCAAATCTAGAGTATCTGTTGAATATTGTGTTAAAAATTTATTTCTTAATACAGGTTTTAGGAACTTCAATATCAGCTCTACTATATAAACCAATCAGCATGCACGGTTTGTCTCATGTGACATCAAGCTTCTCCTACTTCCGCTTTAGTGTTCTAATTTTCCTTCTTAAACAAAATGTGTGGGATTTATTTTTCATGTGATTTTATATTTTCTGTCTTTCACAAACAGTGTACTTTTCAAATTTATATTTCCTTATTTGTTTGGGGTTTTTTTTTTATCATTATAGATGAAAGCTTCTGTTTTGTGTGATTTGATAATAAGAAAACCATCTCTTCTTTTTTAGGAGAATAATTCTATTTAATTCAAAAATGTTTTAAATCTAATTAGTAATAGTCAGATGTTTTCTTTCGTTTTAGTTAGTCTGAGTGTTTTAATTTTATTATTAGACGTGAATAGATTTAACATTTTATTTACATTCTGAATTTATAGAAAAAAAATGTCATTTTATTCGAAACAATTTAAAACTTTAACTTTTGGTTAAAGTTTAGATTTATTAATTTAATATTTTGCTCATTACTGCTGTACATGGATTCAATGTCGCTAGACAATTAATATTACATCTGTTGTATTATATACATAGTAAACTACCAATAATTTTCATTGATTTGGAAAGTCCTTTGAAAGAGATTTGATTTTTCAAACATATTGTTATCAATGGATATAAATTAAATTGTGTCCAATCAATCGATATAAGTCGGATCGTGTCCAATCAATCGATTTTAATCAAATCTTGTCCAATCAATCGATATTACTCAGATCATGTCCAATCAATTGATATGTCAGATTGTGCCAATCAGTTAATATCACTCAGATCTTGTCCAATCAATTGATATCACTCAGATTGTGTCCAATCAATTGGTATTACTCAAATTGTGTCCAAATTAATCAATGTTACTCAAATCGTGTCAATCGATATCACTCAGATCGTGTCCAATCAATCGATATCACTCAGATCGTGTCCAATCAATTGATATTACTCAAATCGTGTCCAATCAATTGATATCACTCAGATCGTGTCCAATCAATCGATATCACTCAGATTGTGTCCAATCAATCGATATCACTCAGATTGTGTCCAATCAATCGATATCACTCAGATCGTTCCAATCAATCGATATATTATTGTGTCCAATTTCACTGTAACTCGGGTATCATTTAATCTTGGGTATCTAGCGCTTTTTTCTTAGCATTTGTTTAATATAAAACTCATTTAAAATCACCCAAAATCATCTAATTTGTACTTGTGTGAAGTTTAAAGCGGATCGATTAATTTTGATAATGGGTATCCAATTTACTGACCACTGTTCAAAAATTAATCATTATGCATCAATAATCAAAATTGGTTTGTTTATTTTTGAACAGTGATCGAGAAATTAAACACTTGTAAATTAGACGCTCATTATTCATTATCAAGATTGAATGGTCAGCTTTAAACTGGACACAAGTACAAATTAGATGATTTGGGGTGATTTTAAATGATTTTGACGAATTATTAAACAAAGATTTAATATTGAATGAATGTAAAAGAAATTAGTGCTGGATACACAAGATTAAATGATACCCGGCAAAAGCTCCCACTTGTTCTTAAATAATTGTTTAAATACTTTTAACAACATTATCAAGAGATAAACAACAAATATTTTAACAATGTTATGTAGTCATTCGGATGGTACAAAAAAGAACACCATTTTGGTGTGCATATAGAATTAACCTTGACATTTGGAATTTAATTAAGAATAGATGTAGACACTGCTATCAGGCAGAATTTCCCTCATGACGTATGCCCATCTTCATTAGCTCAATTGGTGCAGAAAACTGGAATGTTAAACCTCATTTCATTTCATTTATAATAAGCCAGATGTTTTTATTTCTTCATTTTATGTTTCAGTGGATCGAACAAACAAGATATTGAAACAAGCTTCAGCTAATGCTAGTTTTCGGGTAACGAAGCGAGACCAGTCACAGAATCAGAAAGGAGCTCTAAACTTGGCCGATTTAACCAAACGATAATCATAAATATTCCCACCTGAAAACTGAGGGTTTTTTTTCTGGTTCCTGTCAGAATGTCAAGAAACAATTGTACGAGATGGTTTGAACTTTATGTCAAGACATTTATTATAATTGTGATTAAAAACGTTGAATGAATACAAATCTGTGTGCCAGACAATGACACACAAGTATCATGGATTGTGTCTTACGATGTCTGTGACAGGTGCCTTCTGTATCCTGACTTGCAAACATTGTGTAGTGTTGTGCTGAAATTAATCATGTTGCCACACCTGTATGCACCATGCCGTCAAATAAATCCATAAGTTGGCCATATTGGCCAATTTCACAAAATTTAATTATTCATATTGGCATTTTAAAATAACACGCACGACCATAATTATTGTGCAGTGTTAAATTGTGTTTCATTTTGGGTTGTACAAAATACGCACAACCATATTTATCAGGTTATGTTAAATTGTGTTTCATTTCGGGTCGTACAAAACACGCACGACCATGGTTACCAGGCTATATGTTAAATCGTGTTTCATTTTGGGGGCGTACAAAACATGCACGACCATGGTTACCAGGCTATGTTAAATTGTGTTTCATTTTGAGTGGTACAAAACACGCACGACCATGGTTACCAGGCTATGTTAAATTGTGTTTCATTTTGGGTGGTACAAAACACGCACGACCATGGTTACCAGGCTATGTTAAATTGTGTTTCATTTTGGGTGGTACAAAACACGCACGACCATGGTTACCAGGCTATGTTAAATTGTGTTTCATTTTGAGTGGTACAAAACACGCATGACCATAGTTATCAGGCAGTGTTTAATCATGTTTCATTTCGGGAGCGAACATAATTATTATTACAAACATTAAAACCAGGAGGTTACTTATTATTATTATTGTTTTGTGCTAAGTAAAATGTGTGTGTGCTGTTCAAATGAATTCAAGAAACGGTTTTAAAACTTTCTTTAAGGAGATGATATAGTTTTAAAAATCAAGTTTAAAAATGAGTGCTGTTATATATTTCGCATGTGTTCTTCCCATTGTACATAGTTCATATATTGTTGAGATTTTTCTTATTTTTGCTTCACTTTTCGTGATGTAATATAATGAACGAGAACGTTGTGTTTATATAAATTGGTTTAATATTATCTGAAGTGGACCAAAACTGATCTTTCACATGTAAATTTTGTAATTTATGAATATTTTACTATGTAAAAATGTGTGAATGAGTTTAAAGTGAAGATAGAGCGTTGAATATGTCTGTATTGTGGTGAGAGTTCATTGAGGGTTTTACTGTTGTTATGTTGATCCATGTTTTAGTTGAGTGGGCCGCGTTAGTTGAGCAATAAGGGATAGAATTTCAAACGTTGGAATCTCAGGGTGGACTGAGATGAATCTCTGGATTTTTTTAAGCTGGACGGAAAACAATGTCCACCTTATTAACTGCTATTACAGTGAGACTTATACAGTCGGGCTTTGCTATAACACTGGTTGTGTCCACTTACAACAACTGTTGTTATATTGAATACAGTTGGGCATTACCATAACACTGGTTGTGTCCACTTGCAACAATTGTTGTTATATTGAATACGGTTGGGCGTTACTATAATGCTGTTATTATATTGAGACTGTGCTCTAGTGGAGTACTTTTATTGAAATAAAATATAAAATTAAACTAATCTTTTAATGGTTAATGCTGTAAATACTATTCCTGTTTTATTTTATTAATGATCTCATGCTGACTTCATTAAAAGATGAAATCTTCTTCATTGTAAATAATTGTATATTTTAGATAAATCTCATCATTGACAATCAAAGTGTTAAATATGCTGAAATGATTAAAATATGAAACTTTCTGCTTCGTTATAAAAGGGGGGGTTGGATAGCCGAATAGTTACCACATGCGCACTGTATCATAAGGTTTGTCATTGAGTCAGCTGGCGTGGTTTCGATACCTCGCTTGCACGTGACAAAGAGTAGGGTCACCTGTCCAAGGTCCTCTGGTTTCCTCCTCCCACAGCTAAAGAGACATATTACCATCATGTATTGGGTCCCAAAATGACCTAGTTTATGTCAAGTGGGCGTTAACCCCATTCCTCTCTTTCTCTTCATTATAAATAATTGTATATTTTAGTACGAAGAAAATTCTTTCTTAACCTAATCACTGACAATCAAAAGTATAAAGAGTTTTGTGGTTATATTATACTGTAGATGTATGTAAGATATATTACAGTTTTTAAATATCGTTTACTTTATAATAAACCACTTGATATTGTTAATGTCTTCCTTGAAACGTGTTCAATTTTATTATTATTATTATTATTACAACACACTTCTATAACATGTAACTGCCACGTAAATAAACTCATGTGTGCTTTTACAAAGACATTTTATAGAACAAGACACCATTAGATGTATATAATAAAATCAGGTAGTTAAACATATGTTTTAGGATTAATTGGCACATTATTAAATTGATATACATATGTATAAAAAATTCTGGTAGTGAAAGATGTGTTTAGGCAAGTCGTAAACCACATAGATTTTATTTGTGTGTCATTCTCTAGACATTTAATGTCTACCATTGATAGCAAGACAATCGGCTTCTCTCTTTAATATTATTCTCATATTAATCCTGTTATTCATAAGTTAGAACCCCGGTTGTACGTGGCAAGGAGTAGGGTCGCCTGTCCAACCTCGTGGGTTTTTTCCGGGGCCTCCGGTTTATTCCCACTGCTAAAGACCCCTACGCGCAAGCGAATTATGTAAATAAAATTAAACCATATGTTAGTCCCGAAATGACCTAGTTTGTGTCGAGTGGAGTGGACGTTAAACCCCATTTCTCTCTCTCTCTCTCTCTCTCTCTCTCTCTCTCTCTCATAAGTTAGAAAAAATTTAGCCATATTTCATGTCTCATTTTATAGCTTACATAAAATTTATACTTTTGAGTCTCAAAATCACACAATTATTGTTTAGTTAAAACTACTGTGTTCAATTAATAAAATCAAAATATGTGAATGCTTCCTAAAACCAACTGATAAATATTTTTATTTTTTTATGTTTTTTAATATTTCTCAAGTTTTGAGAAAGATTAAAATATTTTTTAATAGTATTATATTTTTACATGTGTTCATCAGAATGTTTACAAACGATAAATCTTGTTTACCACCAAATATACCAGACACTGCTGTTAGCAAAAAATCAAAACTGTTTTATTTTTAATTTATAATGAACTGGGTAAAAGCCTATAGGAGTTATCCTTTAAGGATTCATATGAGGCTCAGTGAGTAAGGGGTTGGTCCGCTGTTGGTCGAGTAAATTCCCTAGGGATTTTCCTGCATGGATTCCTCTTGTTACTGATGCAGGACAGAAGGTTTGGCAAAGTACATTGTGTACATGGGACCTTGGTTTATCGGCCCTTCCGAACAACTAGACAGTGTTCCTTTGCCAGGCCTTGTGTTCCTGGAAACCATACCAGAAAATCCCGGTTAACTTTCTCGCCCAACACCAGGATCGAAACCCAGACCTGCTGGTTTGCAAACTAGCATCGTACGGAGCCACAGCGGCTTCGATATATATTAAGAGTGTATCAGTTGAAGAATGAAATGTTTATATGTAGAATAGTTGTTGACCTGTATGTAGTTGTTGACCTGTATGTAGTGTAGTTGTTGACCTGTATATATTTTGTATATATTGTTATGATAGTTATTAACTAACCACGTTATACAATTATAGCAATCACTCTTCCAGTTTTATTCTTATAGGTTCACCATGTTATTGTTTTAGTGGTCTGACTCCTATCATAGAAAAATATGATTAAAGCTAGACTACCCAGATAAAAACTTGGGGTTTACTGTTATTGTGGTAGTCCAACTTTAACAATACCCCTTTTTATTGACATTAACCAGATTACCAAGGTGACGAGTTTATATCCATGTCTGTCATGGTCACAAGGTTAGTATAAGGGTAATCTAGCTTTAATCATTGCCTGTATATTAATACAGGTTAAAGTTAAACTACCTACCATGGTTTTAGTATATTTTATAACTTGTATAATAGGTTTTATATAATCAGTGCTCTTTCCTTCAAATATTCTTTAAAATATTATTTAATTCTTTTACAGTGACCTAAAACTTAACTAGATGAAGTCGCTGGTTGAAAACTAAATTGAATTACTCTCTTTGTCTCCTCATTCCACGCTCGTATGGCAGCAGTCGCCATTTATAAAAGCCCTATTTGTTTAAAAAGGTCCCTATTATTTGGCTGTTGTACAGAGGTTTTTCTAGACGAGTGTGCTTAGTAATTTGTTATCTTAGTCTTTCTGTATAATCTACTGTGTATAATAAGTATTGTTTTCAGTTATAATAAATAACCTTGCAATAACAGTTGATATTTGTTGTTTTATTATGGAAGATCAGATAGAAAGCTGGCAGTTCTTACTATAATAGCTTTTGATTTTTCGGCATAGCCACGGTCATCATTACTAAAAACTGTACGATAAAAAACATAAGTCTCGATTATCCAATTATAATGTGGACGTATATTGCCGTTGCCCCTGTGCGTGAGTGTGTCGCTGTCGCCTACATGCCACAATTCTTAAGTGATCATCTTGAAACTTTACCTACTTATTCGTTATACCCTAAGGATGATCCCTATTGTTTTTGGTGCATGCCCGACCCCCTGGGGAGGAGCCACGCCCATTTCTTGTATTTGTTTTTTGTGATCTACAGGCCGCATTTCTTAACGTATTATCTTGAAAATTTGCATACTTATTCTTTGTATTTTAAAAAGTACCATATCAATCAAAGTTGAAATGTGGACGTATATTGCAGCGTTAGCGATGCTCTTGTTTGATTTAATCATCAATGAGCATTGAGTAGCTGATCGGATTCAAATCCAATGACAATCCAACACATAAGATGGCATCGAGAGTTGATTATTGTCTTGTCACGTTAATAAATGTCTAATTAATAATTTATATAACATTTGACACCTAAAGAAAGAGGGGGGGGGGTGGCCGAATGGTTAGCACGCGCGCGCTAAAGACCTCTACGCGCAAGCCGATTATTGAAATAAAAAAATTCATCCATATGTTAGTCCCGAAATGACCTAGTTTGTGTCGAGTGGACGTTAAACCCCATTTCTCTCTCTCCTTAAAGAAAGACATGCAATAGGCAGATTTAGTTGTTACATAATGTATGGTTAAATAGTGAAAGATTCCCAGATACTGTAATAGTAAGCACAGTGGGACTGCACCACACACAAACAATTACACAAGACAAATTTACAGTCAAGACACAATACGCAGAAATCATAAACAAACGTACATATCAGATTTCGTGAATGGATCCGGGGGCTTACCGTAAGCGTCCACTGCGCTGTACAGTCCTGGGCCTGTGGTTACACAGACTTCACTCAAATATGAAAACTAACAATAAGGAGGAATATATTCCAAAACGTTGTATAATACTAGTACATATCATGATCTGTTAAAACGGTAGCCTCTATCGCTTCCACAGGGTTTTCGAGGGGGCTTAACTCCGAAGCTGAAGGTCGCGGAATGCTGATTACCGATAGGATTCGTGCTCCAATGTTCCCAATTCATCACACTAGAAATCTCACGAACTTGATTACGCTTTGTATATGTAAGGCCATAAGCCAAGCAGTTGCACCAAAATGGAATTCAACCAAGATCTTTTGGTCCTCAATATCTAAAACGGGCAAATATTCAGACATTATATGCCACTAGAATGTGGGTTTATAGAATGGAGTTGGATAATCCATTAATGTGCACTGAAAAGAATCCTTGACAAATGAAATTCGAAATAAGAGTAGGCCGTAGCCCCTCTATCCAGACGAAACTTACCCCTATATAGGTCTATGACCAGATGGCAAAAAAGTTCATTTCATTTTCTTTGGATGGTTACAAATTTAGGAACTTGTGATAGAAATTCATCTTGAACATGACCTATTCAAACATACAATAGTTATATCCTGTATTGAATGTTTCTTAGAATTGTATTCAACGGGATTATCTCAGATAGAGTGTTACATAACCAATGGAAGTCATCTCAGCTCTTTATTACATACTTATTCGAAATATTTTAATTGTTGTCCAAAATCTAAAGGCATAACTCCACAATAGTCTTCTAATATCTCTGTAAAAGATGACTGCCTTCAACACATGACGTCATATCACGCGGCGTCAATCATTGGCTCAATGGCGGGTGCATTGGTTACATAAGACGTTACTGATTCGAGCAGAATGGCGCCTTTTACTCATTTTAATACCCATTTAAACTAAAATAGGAAATGATTTTTACCTACAAATACTTCAAACGTTTTTATTTATTTTTCTAATACATAAAAAAAATGTTTTAGAATTTAATTTGTCGGAGGAAAAAAGTTAATATTTGTGGCTCATTAAGACGCATCCATGTCATCCTTATCAGTGATTGTCGCGGCCTAGCGAATATTCACTGTGGATCAGTGTGCCACAATAGATGCAGGAAATGTTAGAACTAAGAACTCAGAATCAATAATTCTTAATAATGAGCTGATATGTGTTCCATAATCACCCGGCTTTCAATACCGAGTACCGTTTAGAAGATGTAATTATCCAGTCTGATTGTTATTGAAATCTATAAATAAAGGCCATGATTAAAGAAAACCATTTTTTTTTACAAAT